CCCTTCCGCGTGCTGGACCACGGATCCCCTTCTCGAGGCCCGATGAGACACGATCAACCCCCTCGGTCCCGATCTGTTCTTCCCTTCGCCCCCCCCCTCTCCCGATTCTGGACACTTCAAACTGATCCAGTATCCCCTCGTATGAGGAATATCGCACATGTGACGAGAGCGATAAACGACGAAAACTCAAAGGGCCCGGAGATGATGCGTTTGCTCCGATACCATTGTAAAGTCTTGGCCATGGGAAAATTCAGATGCTGAGGTTGGCGTGGTCAGACCATGAAATTAGGACGTAGCATGAACCGTGAAGTCGTTATTCGGGAGGCGGGCGAAGGAGGGACTCGATGAATTCAGTTTCGTTGAGAGTGGAATCGGAGAGGCGTGTACCGGGTTTGAATTTACAATACAGCGTTTAAATATATAAAAAAGAGGACAGTTTTCGTGTAAAAAAAAATGAGGATAGAAAAAGATTTAAAATAACATGTTTGAATAATCAGATTTAAAAATATTTGAAAATATCATAAAAATGAAGAGAGAAATTCCTTTAAAAAAGTTGTTCCTAACACATGTTTTATTAGTTATAATCTTTATCAATGTCTCAAGAGTTTTAAGAATCTTGTGAACTGATTAGCATTTCACTGATAACGTCACGTTGCAGATTAAAATGCCTTTATTGAAGTTACTTGGATATATTTTTTTCTCTAAATAATTGTGTGTATTTTACAGAGATGGAAAAACGTAGAAGGTAACGTCGGTGAAAACCAAACCCATATCAAATCTCCGTGGGAATCCGTCGAATTTCCAATGTGTAAGTGTCAAAAAGTTGAATTTATTACTCGGCGGAATTTTTATTGTACGTTCCTCCTACGATTATCTGCCGGACAGTCATTCGAAAGTTCTGAGTATCCTCCATCATTATAATAGCCCGCTCTTTGGATTTTCTTGCGTTTGGCGTGCATCCACCTACTTTCCCGTTCTCTTTTCTCACTTTCGAGAGACTGGCATTGGGGTACAGAAGGTTGGGGGCCGGTGATTTTGGGTTTCGAGTTTCGTTCTATCCTTCATTATCAATGTGGTTTTCTTGTGCGAGGTGTGCGCCGCGCCGTAACAAAGCGGAAGAATTCTATGGAAGAGGGCGAAGCGTACCGAAGAAGCAGGTCGCCCTACAATTCCGTCCTTCGTATTGTTTAGAGTTGAAAGGTAGAGACAGGAAGTGCGTACGCCGATTTAAAATATGAGCAAATTCGCCTACGCACAACGCGCCCGTTCATTTTTCGCCTCGGAGTAAATTGTAATAACACATAATTTCGGCTGTCATTGAGATGTGCAATTCGACGAATCATTATCTTCAAGATATACCAACAATTCATCGTAACTCTTTTTTAATTTTCGGATATTTACGATACAATGGAAAGAGATGTTCCTTGAAAATGAAAGGAAAACTAAACAGAAAGAATTATATAAGACTATATCTTGACTCAGAGAGTGATTGTAAAGAATATAAAACGCTATAATAAGACATTGGACATAAGTATAATTGCAAAGCAAAAGTGACATTTTTAATATGCACGAAGGAGGTCGCATGGATTAAATGAAATCTCAAACAAAGAGCTGCAACGCTGCAAGGTAGTAATACTGCGGAAATGGTAGTAAGGTCAAGGGATAATTGTCGGTATCCCTCAGACAGTCGAAAGGAAACGAACTGAGAGAGCAGCGTGGTCATTCGCAGAGGCTCTTAATGATGCTCCTACGAAACAATTCTCAGTGAGTTTGACTGCAGTCTCTGAATAGACACGTTGAAAAACAGAAAATTACTATTTTTAAATATTCAGTATATTACACGAAACAAATACCACTGATATAATACATTTTTTTTTATTAACAATTTTACGTCTGATTAATTATTTTCTATCGCTTTTAAATACGCGCGCGAAATTTATCGATGGTATTCAAATGATTCCGTATTATTTATACAACAAGATATAATGTATATTTTTATATACTAAATTTGTTTTGCTTCATATTTTTTAAATCTGTATTATCGTAATTATTTTATATGTTCATAAATCGCCCAATCGATGTACATCGATTGATAGATAACTAGAGACGGCCCGCATACGGATGCAGGGGGCGGTATCCTATTGACCTTTTAGATATGCGAAGGACCACGCAGCTGCTCAAGAACTCATATCGTGCGTTCTTCCCTATATAGATCCTGTCTAAATCGCCCAGCCGCGCCTTCGTATGAGGATACACGTGCCAGCCACATGTTGCACAAAAGGAATCCTCCGTGGTCCTTTTTGGGCGCCGTACAGCGTAAGTCGCCGTCACAAAGAAGCTTTGGGGCCCCATAAATGATTCTCCTTCGTCGGGGGGCACTGCCGAGGGGTCTGACGACGCGGCAGATGTTCTATGTCTCTGCGCCCCTGAAGACGTCTATCCGCGCCGGACACGCTTAAGGACATATAATACCGGTAGGATTAAAAAAAAAAAAAAGAGACGGAAATTCACGATCAACCCGCGTAATGTTCGATGGTATCCTCAGGTTCTACGAACCGTGCAGACATAATATTCATTTCGGCACGAGCCGTAATTCGACTCGATGACATGCTTAATCTTTTGAATTCTAAAACGGAATGAAAGGATTTGAATTCATGAAAGGATTAATTGATTCGTAAGATATCGCGATTAAATAAAAGAACATCCGTTCGCATTGTTCATTATCCTTTGTTTTAGCTTCTTATTTTAGAAAATAATATTCAAACACATTTATTTTTAATACTCGATAAAAAACTTTCTAAAATTATTTTGTGGGTAATTAAAATATATTTGATAATAAGTACATTTTTATATGTGTTGACAGATTTGCATATCAAAATTCAAAGAAACAGTTTTTATTAAACAGAAAATTAATTGCGAACGATTAAGAGAAATTGTCAGGCAACGTGAGATCAATTCCATCAAGATTTTTGGCCGGCAACTGTGATATTTAAAAATAGCGGACATGTGGTACTTCCCTCTTTTTCTCTCTCTCGACAATGTCACGAAGCTAATTTTGAAGTATAAAACCTGATGCACGCGTGCATCCAATCCAACGCTCCGTAGGGAAAGAATGGAAAGGTTCTTGAAAACGAACACGTGGTTGCAACCATCTGTTGGCATCCTACTACTTCGCTCGACCTAACTCAAACCGGCCCGTTTAATAGTGGAAGTTCTTTCTTTCTATTTTTACAGGATCCACCGATGTTGGCGGATCTTACAATGGGCATTACGGTTTTTTTTTACTTGAGAACGTCACATTGTTTGACATATGTGTACATCTTGCAGAATCAAAATCATCACATCAAACAATACAATGGGATCTTGATTATATATATATATTTTGATATATATTATTATAATACATATCAAAGAGTGATTGAAAACAACTTGATGTCTTTGAAACATTATATATTCTTGAGCGATTTCTAAGATGATTTTTCCTTTTGCAAAATTTTGCAAGGGGAAAAATCGCTCAAGAATGTGACATTTCAAAAACATCAGGTTATTTCGAATCACTCTGTATACCTATTAATATATCTATTTATGCAATGAAAATAGATTATGTAAATAACCGAAGAGCAACTACATATTTATATTTATACGCTTGTATTCTATTACATCTTTTAATGTATTAAAAATAGATCATCATTACGCGTCTTATAAAATATTAAATGCCTAAAAGTGGAACGTATATTTCTGGCAAGAGAGTTCTCACGTATGTGCTGGATTTATTTCTCCAAACGCGGCAAAAGCTCTCACATTTTGTTTAGTCTAGAAACGGTGACACATACTCAAAAGTATAAAGCACCACACTCATCTCATATACAAACAGATAATGAGTTCCTCCCCTAAGTTTAAGAAGACGGCTTCCTAGAACTCATACAGATGTGCGCTCCGTGCTTGGTAAAAAAAAATTTAAAAAAAGTTTTTAAGATAAATATCGAAAGGAAACTTGTCAAGAAATATCAATGGAATTGATTGAATATTGTTAAAAAGAATTATCAATATTTTATCTAATATTTAATATCAAATTTCAGTTTTATTCTTGACTGAGAACTGTAATGAATGATGCCATGTGTTTCAGCTTTCTCACCTCAGCTAAATTTATCCTTGTAGGATACTTTAAGGATTGTGTAGGATACCTTAATGATTGTGGTACCGTAACTTCGTGCCATAATATGCGACATTTGTGTCACCAGAAATATAACATATTGAATGAAAGAGAGTTTTCCGCCAAGTTCGAAACTGTAAAGGAACGGAATCCACAACATCCGTGAGCGCCTGCTTTCATACCGCTCTTCGATAAAAGGCAGGTAAAAACATTCCTGCCTGGAGAGAGACCATTCCTGTTCTGACCCACCTGGCTTTTATACACACTTTTGGCCTGAAATACCAGTTTCTCCTACATCCATCACGTAACCATCTATGGTAAAAATTATGAAAAATTATCTGTGTATTGTAACACATCAAGAATTCATCGTATTTGTATAAGTACTATTCTCAGAATTGTAATACCGTAAATTTTTAATAACATTTTATGATTAATTTCTTTATCGTATTACATATAATTGCGCGCGCTTGCGATAAAAAATGATCGTAATATATCATAATTATTCCTCTAATTTTCGTTAATGAGTAAATTCTTTGATAAAATAAATGTAATCTCAAATTTTTCGTTTAAAATGTGCTATTTAATTAATAGAAAAACATGATAGCCATTTTGAAAAAAGTAAAATTACATATGTAAAAGATAAAAAAATTATTTAAAAAATCAACATAAATTAAAGGAGAATTTTACGAGAATCGATTTGGTATGAAAGTCTTTTCGGGAAGTGCGGATTTAGAACTCAATATCTGAGATCTTTCAAAGGACACGAATATTACGTGTCATAGCTAAATCTTGCTTCTGATTGCAGGATATCCTCAAGCTGAAAGGGCAGACCTACGTCTCTCCATCGTCTTTGTGCAAACACTCATCGGTCCTTGATAGAGAATCTTCATATAACGTACGTATGTATATGAAAATAACTTTCCGCTGTATCGCAATATATTCAATCATAGGAAAATATATACAAAAAGCGTCGTATATAAATCTACAATCAGTTTTTTTAGGGAATTAGGAATATAACTATATAAAAAAAATTAAATACAAATGGCTTTAAATTATGGAATTAAATTTAGCGACATTTCTTCAATGAAATATGTATTATTTTTAATTTATAATAATCGTCTATTCCTTTACATTTAGTTAAACTGTAAATACGGATATCACAAATCAATTAAGCACTTGTCTCGCCTGATTACAATAAAGTAAGTTTACACCTGTCGAATAAGGGATAAATTACAGGCAAGGGAGATTACGCACGCTGTTTGAGGACTCGCTAATCGCGAATAGATAGCGACAATGGTTCGATGACCAAGGCAAGAAATGCACTATTACTAGTAAGCAACCGTGTACAAGTATGAAAGCTGTGCGGCAAAGCTGTTTTCGTTCCTGGACATCCGGTTCGCCACGCGCACTACGTGTGTCTTGCCTGACGTCATAACACAACACCTGCCATTTCACAGCTGTTTCCTCAATTCATGGCAGCAAACCCCCTTGACAAATAGGTTTAATTTGAAACTACCCTACGACCACTGCTTTCTTCGATTTTTGAAACGTATTTGAAGAGATTAAACAAAATCGTATAGTAGTAAATGTTTCATTGTCCGTAACAGTCAATGAACAAATTTTGACAATTTCGGTATAAAATATCGAATTATCAATATGACAATTTTTAACACTTTTTATAAAATATAAAATATAATACCTCAAGAAAGCGTGGTAGAAAAGTGAGTCTGTTATAACATCGTCCTTCGATAGAATGATAGGTTTGCAAAAAACCTATCATTTTTATATGACATTATATCACGTGAAATATTGAGATTAAGAATATATTCACTTCACGTAACTCATAAAACTTATCATTAAAATTAAAGATTTCCGGATACTTTATTCCCGGATTCGCTTATGAAGCTGATGATTTCTTTGTAGAATCCGACAACCTTTATCTTTCCGCACGGTCGCACAGGTGCTGCGAGAGTCATATCGCGTCGACTTCGGAATTTTCGGACAGAAATTATTCGAGCGAATTCGCTTTGCATAGATTACGAGACCGTAAGCCCAACTTTATTGGCGGCTCCGAAGTTTCGGCGGCGCTAGGAACTGGGTCTACCTTCGATAGATTGGAAACCTATTGATTGAGAATGTCTAGGAAAAACCTCATCTAAAAGGACGTCGTATATATCGGCGTCACGCGCGTTTACCTGCCGCACGTGTCTCGACATTTCAATAAGCTAATCTCCGACGCATCCAATTTCGCGATGAGAATAAAAGATCTCCCCTCGTCTTTGTGTTCGAAAGTAACTTTAAGTTGCCAAATCCGCCATTCCTCCGATAATCAATAAAACGAATGCGTATACACATTAAACACTGTGTGTCTTGCAAAATCTATTTTTGGAATACTCGGATCTTTATATTATTCGAAGACATAAAAATATTCAAAGTTTCTTTCACAATTTAACAAAAAAATTTATTATATAGCTATAAAATTAATTATACACATCTAATATAAAAAAATTAAAACATTATTGACAATTTCGTTCACTTTTATTCATTTCTATTGTCATATAAACAAAAGTATAGACCGTGCTCAATTTTTCTAAGTATGAAATAGATTTCAAACTATCTTGACACGTAAATAAAACATCTATTATAATAGACAAAATATAATACGATCATTCTTTTTATCATTTTTGCAGGAGAAAAATCACTCCCCTGTCGACGTAGTAATGGAAAAACCCTGTAAGAGTACCTAATGAAGAAGTGACAGTAAATTTTTCACGGATAGTTAAATTCGTTTCTACCACATTTTCTTCTCCTACCCCGTTTTTCGGCCCGGGTTGCTTCACTTTGGGGTTTATCGGATGGTTTTTATATTTATTACCTTGCGCGCTCTCAGTCGGGATCGAGAATGATCCCGGATAAGAAGGATAGGGGCGCCAAAATCCACCCCTCAGTTTCCCCACAATTTCTCCCCCTTTTCAACTCCCCGCCGACCCGAAAAAAAGCCGCGACGCGTGTTTTACACCCGCCGCCGTTAGCAGGCGGAGTCGCAACAGATGCAAGTGCACTCTCCGTGTTCTCGTTCTATCTATTTTTCTCTCTCTCTCTCTCTCGATCTCACGCCCTGGCTTTTTTTCTGTACCAGATTCAGTGGTATTCCCCCGAGATGTCTCGGGAAAAGGTCCCGTTGGCCGTCCGGTTAACTAGAGTATTGTTCGATTATTATTTCGGTACATATCGCGCACTTGTTACCTCTTTGTGCGGTCATATGGTGGTCGGAGGGTGGCCAGGCAAGTGTCATACGACGTGGAAGACGTGACAAGATAGATAGAAGCGCGTAGCATTATTTCGCGTAGTAGAAATGAATATGAGAAAGAAATAACAAAATAATAGAAATTAAAAAAGATACAAATTTCAGATGTATTTAATGTAAATTAAAAAAATTGCAGCTTGAAACAGCGATAAGACTTATATTAAAAAATAATGAAATCTAAATATATCAAGAAAAAGATATGTTGCGGATTGCAAAGAAATACAAAAAAAAAAAAAGATAATAGATTCCCTCGCGTTACTCCTATAAGGAGAGATTCATTAATATTAATAACATCACCCGCATAACCGATGAACAAGCTAATAAATCCGATGATATCAATTTAGTAGAAATTATAAATTTCAAAAAGAAAGTGAGAGTGCAAATAACTGTACTGAGGGACGCATAGAAATGTATTATTTGTTTTAAAATATGCATTTTATGGATGTTGATAATTATCGTACAATGATATTGAAATACCAAAATATCTCATCAACCTAGATAGATAAAATCAATTAGCTAGATAAAAATGAATAAGATCTATCTTACACTTGAATAAATTAAATTCGTATGTTTGCAGCGTATATATAACAATGAAAGCAAGTAAGATCCATATAACGATACTTCGTTATATTTCACGGACTATATTTTTTACTTTATTCTTAAATTAAAAAAAGTTCTCCTCTGTTTCAGATATTTTTTAAAGCATATGGCCCATCTATGCGTCAAATAGACACCTTAAAGCCGAGGCGCCGAGCACAGACACGCGACACGAAAGTAAGGCCAAATTTGGCAAAGCACGTCGGTCGACGATAAAGAAAAGAAGCCGAAACGACGGAAGAGGAACGGACAATGATCTCCGCAACAGCGGGAACATCTGCTCGGTACCGGCGCGCCGCCGCTCTCGTATCGCTCGTGGCGTGTCCTCCTTCACGGGCCGATCTGCCCGATCCCGATGCCGTGAAACTTGTCCCACCTCGGTGCGCATGCATAGGTATTCATTATCCTCGTCCTCTCTGTTCGGCGGTCGCCCGCCACCTCGCGCGTTCCTTTTTCCGCGCGATCTTTTTTGGTCCACGAGGAAACATCTGCGGCAGCTGCGAGGCGGTGGACCGCCGCCGGGACTCTCGTACGAGGCAGGTGCTTACCTTCCGAGGTTCTCCCTCGCCTGCCAATTACGCGTGCCTCTTTCTGCCTCTCGTACTCTTCCTCCTGATCCTCGCCTCCACCTTTACGAGGCGCTGTCGCACTCTATCCACCTCCGTCGTGCCTCTTCGGTTTTTCTCTCGCCTTCTCTCGTTACGATCCTCTTGCACACTCCCGTTTTTATCCCTCTTCTCACCGTCTAACTTCGATCTTCTTCGTCGTCTGTTACTCTCGTGCCAATTTCTTGCATTCCTTCGAGCGTTTTAACACATTCTACCTTTCTTTCTCAATTATTGAGCGGCAGAAATTATGCGAACATGCGAACATATTTCTCTCGGTGAAATTGAAACGACAACATCCTGTAATTACTCGTTATTGGGGTAAAATTTGTGATAATTTCTCCTTCCCACATTCTCGATACTCTCTCCGTCTGCCGACCTCGATCTCTTTATTGTATGTCTTTCGCGACAACTTGTTGCACTGTTTCGAGCGTTTTGACGTCCTTATCTTTCCTGCTTAATTATTAAGAAGGAAAAATAAATATTACTCCTTGAATTTCCAATGAAATTTCACTTCAAGTGTATCGCAATGGTATTGCACATTATTTTCCTACTAATTGTTATAAAAATTCTGTGAATACTAAATATATCATTTATATTATTTCAAACGTGTTCTTTGTATCATTCTTTCTTTTTACGAACGCCTTCATTCTTTCATCTTGTTCGTGACGTTACTCTCGCTTCGGGTCACACTTCTTGCTCTCTTTTGGCTTTCTCAGCTGCCGCTCCGAAAGGGAGGCTTACTCGCGCTCTCTCGAATGATGCGCTGGTTCTTGGTCCAGCGCACGGTTCTGCATAGCTTCCCCTTTTTATTTTTTTTCTCGCCCTTCAAGATGGAAGCCGTCTGCCCACGGGCAAGATTGAGGCACGTGCACCGGTTTGCATGTATTGAGGGTGATTTGGAAATGGCTTGGAGGTGTATGCGCTTTCGTACATCGTAATGTTTCTGAAGTAAATTAGAATATCCGTTCTGAGAAACGGAATCGTAATTTTCGTTTGCTTTTACAGAGAATATAAAAAACTTTTTCTAAAAATAACTTTTATGTATATCATGTATAGTTTTGCATTAAAAACGAGATATAAAAATTTCACTCAAATTTACTAAAACATAAAGAAATTTGAACTCTCATTTTTAACTTTTTAAATTTATGACAATTTTGAAATTATAGTAGATATTATTTCCAAAGTTCATCTCTCTTTTTTTAAAAGACTTGGAACATTTAAAGTATCAAGATATTAAAATTTTTAATTTAGAAATTAATTTCTCGTGATGAAACATCACGAAAAGGGCCATTTGACTAATTACATTGATATAAATTTGTATAATATATTATAAAAGATTTTTATCAAACTATTCTTATAATGCATCGGCGTGTTATCTGAGTTTACATAAGAAGTGCATTAGTAAATGTATCTCTGATGGCAAACTCTGTTCGCTGCTGTTATTCGATAGGAGCTGTTCCATGTTAAAGAACTTATCTACAGTCATGGTTACTCATGGTTACAAAATATGCGTTTGCAGTCTTTATGGCTCGCATGATCGGAAACAAGTCCTTGTAATTTTACGGTCAAAGTTTTTGTAAAAGCTGATGCTACGCGTGAATTTTTTCATGCATCTTTCAAAAATTTATATCGACGAAAATTAGTATATTTTTAATAATGTATTTTACCATAAAAAAATTTATTTAAAGTAAAATTACTGAAAGAAATGTTTGCTTTTCTAGGTGTTACGCACAACTGACACGAAATCATGATGATGGATATTATTTATGTTTCTGCCGAAACTCGCTCAGGCCACCAGCCGCCTGTACGAACACTTGGAAGAAAACTCGGCGCGGCTTTAGATGGGCCACATGCCTTCCTGGTTCTCCTATCTAGCAGCTGTCCTCACGGAACAGTGTATCTCATTCTGCCCTTAATACCGTTCGAAGAATCCATGCTACTTTGCACGTCGAACTTACAAGTAAGACTTTATGCTATTGCTCATTATTGTTGTAAAATTGTTAATCGATAACCAGATCATTAACTAATTACATTTAAAATCAACCAAATATTAAAACAATTTAAAGGCTCAGTGCAACAGCAGTTCAATTATTAATTTAAAGAATCTTTAAATGTGGAAATTGACATTCAAGTTGAGAAAATAAAATCGCGTTTATTTTCGCAAATTCTCAGAAAAGAGTTACGTGATTGTTGCAATAATTCTTATACTTCCTTTGAAGAATGAATATATCAAAGAAAGTGCATAAGAAGAACTGTACAACGTTAAATGTCTTTACTGTCTTCTCAATTATTTTGCTAATAGCTCTAAACAAGCGGAGTGATGGTTATCTGCCATTTTATGTGTGGCGATATCTCTGAATTTTCCACTTATTAACGATTGTTGTCAGCCTCAATTAATCTTGCGCAATCGGTTATTTTATAGCAAAGTAGGATCCGTTAGTTCTTAGAAAGATAAGCATGCAACTTACCCGTAAAGCATCGCCGCTCCAGCTATGCCACCACCGCATTGTGCCGCTATATAGAGCACCGCGCGAAGGGGGGAAATTCGCCTGCACAAAGCGAACGATACCGAGACCGCTGGATTCACGTGTCCACCTGCGTGCAAAAGGTTTTCCATATAAAGAAGAGGGAAGGATCGGAGTAGACAAAGAGAGAGAGAGAGATTACGCGATTCTTCGTTTATTCGTTTCATCGTAGCGTTTTGAGCAGCGGCTTTCATCTCTGTTCATTTTGCTTTAAAGTTATAACATTAGTGAATTGAATGTAAGATAGTTATTTGATGTAAATAGATTGTAAAACTAAGAAGTTAAATTACAAACAATCGCTTGATAAATTGCGATTAATATATATTACATCCATTTAAATAACATTAAAATATGAAAGTAAAGTAATAAAGAAAAAAAAAAAAGAGTTAGATTAGGGATTAGAAATATGTTTTTGGAGATCAGTTCTAATTATACAAATAATAAATCAAAAACCAGAAGCAAAATTCGCAGTGTGCTTATTCATTCATGGAGAAATAAACAATGGAAAACAGACACGATCAAATTTCCGTAATAGAAAACTGACAGTTTATGTACGCATCATATATCACGTATTGTGCGTGACGGTGGAACGTACTCTAAGAATGCCCACATGCGTTCCGATAGACACGCACGACATCCACATTGGCCGCCGGCATAATCAGTTAACGAGCCAATCGAGAGAAATCGCGAGGGCCGCTGCTCGTGAACGATATTAACGTGAAAGAAGGAACAGAATCATTGACACAATGAGACAATGGCTTTCAGCAGTTCGCGACCCTTTACGTAATTATCCTCTGAACGCTTTGTAGAGAGCCGTGTACAATGGAAGTACACAAGTATCTCGTACAGACACAGTATAAAATATATAAATTAAAATCAAACGAATCAATTTACTAACAATATAAACTGTAGAATGTATTTATAAATATACGTAAGAAGCTAGTTGTTTAAAATGTAATGTGTACCAAGAGACTTTAAACAAATGCATATATTTTTTTCTTTTACTCTATACATACTTTTTGATGAAGAGAGAATTCATTGTTTCATTATAAGTTTGTAAATAGGCAAAGATTAATTGAGCTAAAAGAAAAAGCCTCTCATTTCTCTCCTGATAAATTGCGTTTTTAGAAAATTGACAACAAACGTAGAGACCATATCAATCAAATAAATCCAATATATTGCAATAACATTCTTACCGCTTATATGGTTGAAAATGAAAAAAATCGCGGCGATGGCGAATCCGGCAGCTACAGCGGTAGCTAATACGGTGAGACCACTTCCGGATACGGCGGAAGAAACAGCCGCGCCGGCTATCACCAGACTGAAAAGAAAAGTGGCCAAGCATTCGACGGCCACCGCTCGCCATAGCTCCAAACTGCGAGCCTCGATGGACATGGGTGCTTTTCTGTTAGTGACTTCGATGTTGTTTTCCCGAAGGGCCGATAACCTCGACAGAATAGTGACGATGTGCGCGTCCACTTCGCGCGCCAAAGACTCGGTCGTCATTCTTTCGCTTTCGTTTCCCGAATCACTGATGAAAAAAACAACAACAGAGTTTGCGTTGCCGCTTTCAGAACATGTTCCTTCTTAATCGAAGATATGATTCTCACGCGCGGTGCACTTTTTCGATAATGTCGAATGAGAGAGATGCAATCACTGGAGCAGTTTGTTACCACTCGATGTTTTGAATATTTGCGGTAGAAAAATGATTTTCTTCCTCAAGTTTCTCGATGGTGCCGCGTTCGTGATTCTTCCCGCAAATTTCTTCGAAAGGTGAGCACACGAAACTGTGAGCACGTTCAACCGTAGACGAATACACCCGATGTTGCCGTACCGGCAACGCGCTCGCGAATGACAACCCAATCCAGCGGCGAACAAGTGGGCCCCGCGCGTGGTGTGCGGCGGCGATCGTGCGCCGCACACCATACACCCCCTCTTCTCGATCGTTATGCCTAGTGCATTCGTGAAGCTGAAGTGAGCTGGAGCGAACTGGAGCTTAGGCTCCTCCATCACTACTGGCATAATCACAATTACCAACATTATTGATGTTAATGCCGACACTGTATAGATATTTCTAACCTTAATCCTTCAATTTTTCGAGTAATGAATACATTGAATTTGCTTTTTTTGTAAAATGCGTAATGAAGTAAGTATGAATTATTAATTAGATTGTTTAGGAAACAATTTTAAGATCATCAAGATCTTAAGATCATTAAGATCTTAAAATTGTATGGAAATGAGATGCGAAAGTAAGTACATTGTTTTATGATAATTATTAAGCACTGCTACTCTTATTATCTTTTTGATAAAGCAATGTACTTAAAAGCCACCAAAAAAAATAAACGGTGCATGTAAGAAAATGAGTGGAGTGTTCTAATAAAAGATTAAAAAAGAAAGAATAGCATCGCGCGTATTACCTTTAGTTAAGGTACTTGAGCTTAAACGCGCGTATCGTCAATGCGAGTATTTACGTATGCATCGACGTGCATTGAAGTCGCGTCTGCGAATGATAAAAATAAGCTGGATAAATAAACCACCACTTGGCGCAGTGGTGGGTCTTATTCCCACGAGTTCAAAGAGTACCATAATGTCCATGTTCCCACAAAAAAGGGATGTACGCACGACGGGGCATGAACAACGAGCATAATAGCGTTCATTTAGACCAACTTTGCGGACGAATGTCGAATGTAGATGACCACCTTGGAGATTGTGTTGTACAAATTCTTATCCTACAATATTAATCATTTTGTATATTCATCTCAAATACGCGAATATCGAGAATGTATGTCAAAGTAATTCGCATGCGGCAGAAAGTCGTGCAAACTTGATGATACGTGGTATTCGCATTCACACCGAAAAGTAAGTGTAATAAACTGGTTTATGCCATTTCAGTATTCGTCAGTGTCAGTTTTCGACATAGAAATGCAAATTTTCGTAGGACTATATCAATGTAATGATAATAAAAAAGGTACCGTGAATAGAATGGTTTGACAGAGAAGCTGCTTGATTTTCTAGTTTTAAGATCTAACGTCTTCAATCAAGAGCTATTCTCAGCTATAGAAATTTTGTTTTTTTAAATTTAATAATTTATTTTATTTTTTTATATTAACTAACAATGTTAATAATCATACTTGTGTTCAACATATTAATCTTTGAATTTGTCATGTTTATAATAATGATTTTGTAAGCAAGATTTCAAGCTCTTAAATGTCATAATTATACATTTTTTAATATATCAATTGATGTATTTTCTGTCTTCTAATTATAGCATGAGACAAATTTTATCTCCACCAATGAAGACGAAGCTATTTCGTATGCTTGACCAACTCCAAGAGAAGAGAGTACGATAACCCACCGTAATTAAAGCTACTTAACTCTTCACTAGGACTGTACTGACGTACTAGCGGAGCTGCGCCTGTAGAACGGTAATAAATTCACCAATTGCTGTAAATTGAAGAACTTGTATGCGGGGGAGTGAGAGACAAGAGAAAGGATATTCGCTTTATCATCACTGCAGTGCTAGCGAATATTTTCGTCATAGTACGCATTTTTTAATACCGACTGATATTTTTACGACTTATCTTATTGTTTATTGAATGTTAAAATGCTGTTGGAGTTTTATTATGATAATCAGTTACTAAGTATACATATTTGAAATATTTATCTTTGAAATTGAATGCTTGATTGGACTTACACGATTTAATTGCAGATTTTAAATGTAATAAAAAAAAATTCTGCAGAAACAATAGTTTATTGCATTTCATATCAAACATTTTGACTATGTTAATTTGATTTGAGTCATATTTGAGTCATTTAATAAAATTCATATAGTTAAAACTCTTATATATGCCTTAAGTTTCTAGTATTGTAAAATTAAAATATAAATACATTTTTCTTAACATTTCTTTAATTTCTCTCTAAGAAAATATCCAGCATAAGTAAGACTTGCAAATTTGATTAGTTCTCTCTGTCATTCATCTTTAAATTATTCTTATTTTCTTAATTATAATTTATTGCATAGTTGTGTTCATCAGTCATTATAGTGCATTACAGAAATGCGTGTAGTACTTGAAAATGCTTTATAAGTGACAATTTCTTGCAAAACCTTTGCGTGATCTTTCGCATTAAAAATTTTTTGCATTAATACATTTTTTAATTGAATTTAGTACTAAATTACGTTCAACGAAAAATTTTATTGTTTTTAAGAAGATAATTCTTTTAATATAATTTTCTAACACGTTAATTTTAAGTTTTGATTGACATTTTCTTTATTTTTATAATTCTCTCCTCTTACACTTTATTACATCTCGCTCATGACATAAGTCATTCCCACTGGCGAACGATTAATACTTAATTTAGCTGATAAAATCGTGAGTCATAAAGACGAGCCGTAGCATGTATGATTCATTGCGAGGAACGTTGAAGCAGGTTTTATTTTATATTTTGAAGTAAAATCATAATAATTATAAAAATTGCTTGACAGGTCTATGAAGCGGGTTTAGAAGAATGTAATATCGACGAATATCATACGAATCCCATGGCAAATTTATTCCGATCACGCGCATTCATCGTCGCTGATCAACTCAATGTTCAGGAGGATCGTGAAGTTTGTGGCAAGAATTCTTTCTCTTTAAAGGAAGATGCAAAGGTGAAATAGAAATGTGTACTTATCGCTCAAAGCAGCTTTTCGGATCCTAAATCTTATTTGTTTAATTTGCAAATTGCATTTACAAGTCAGAAACAATAATTAAATCGTTGCATTCATAGTGAAATATGCGATATAAATGCATGGTCTCACATACGCAGTCAATATACGTATTATCTATCACTATGGAAGTTTCAATATCTAATCTCGTAACAGGTAAAATTATTGATGATAATGTGGAACTGCACGAGCCAGCTGCTCATTGCGGAACATATCCGTTCACGCGACATTCTTTTGCAAGGGCGTGTACAGATAAAAATCTGAAAATGTGGAGAATAAGCTAGGTCATCTATATATAATTTCTATTCATTTTCATTATGTTTGCAGAAAAAAATATCAAAATTGTAACAAAATATTATAAAGTCCGCTTTGTTTGCGATACAAATTTTTTTAAAATTTGTAATTTTTAATACATCTGCTTCTATACAATTTTTTAAAATGTCTTGACACCTTAAATGCAACGTAATTCGTGAACGTTCAGTATATATATATATTATCTATATTAAGTATACAAAAGTTTTTTATTTAATAGTAATGTATTATTAATTTTTTAATTACTCTTTTATTTCAATGGTTGCGCAAATGGCCTCAAATGCGTGTATAATTTGTGAAATAGCTAATTTACTATTATCCTACCCCTTTATCTATGCCCCTGTCTTCCGCGAGCGTGCACATCCGCTCGGTCGTACTGGCGGCACGTTTCGCAACGAACTGCTGCTGTTGGGCGCGTGGGCAGCTTATTGCCGATCCATTGCGGCGACGTATGTGCACGCGACGACATCATTACGGCTCAGTAAGGTCCGACCACTGCCCTTTGCTACATTAATATCCATCACAGTTGTCAAACAGTGTGCGAGTTACTAACTTTATATATATTTTTCAGGTAATTTCTTGGGTTCAATGTAATATCGTTGTCACTGATTTTAATCTTAGTCTGCAGAACAAGATAGTGAACCATGTGATTCATGAATGAGTCAATTTACGATGTATCGATGACACAGTTACTACTGAAAATTACAAATTGTTTGATCAGTATAAGTTGGATATAAAGGAAGCTCTGTGTGATCCGTAAGTCTCGCTTTTTATTCTATTATGTCCTCTTTTAATTATACATTTTTATCTTGATTTGAAATAAATGGAAAGAGAACATAAGATCAAAATATGAAAGTTCCAAGAACTATAGAATAAGATAGTATCAATTAAATTTTAGTAAAAAAAAATTTTTTAACCAAAAAAATTGTTATAGGTATATAGATTTATTACCAAATATTTTGCATAAACATATATTTCTTGCTGAACTGCATTTTCCTTAATTTGTATTTATCGCTAAACATCACAGAAATCAATATAACTTTAATAAAGTTAGATTTTGATATTGAAATTATGCGAAGTTTTAATTTGTATTATTAGGTAGATATGCATTGCGCCTTTCGCTTTTGCTTTATTAATCCTTTACGTTTCTTGCAGCAACCGATCGTGACATTTGGTGTTATCGACAGCTGGGAGAGACGAAGAACGGGGAAAAGGCAGAACACGGCGCGCGACAACGTTACCTGGAGTGCACGCGGAGCACCTCATTCGAACGTGACGGGGGGGCGATAGGGTGTTGGCTGCGTAGGGACGCTTTGGAGCGCGTGTGGTGAACGCGGCGAATCACGGCGAACGAAGAACTGTTTCGTAACAACGACGTCTCAAACAAGAGTGCTCACGTAAAAATTATAAAGTACCTCTCGGAAAGATTATGAAAACTTGCGCCAGTTCATTTGTGTTATATGAGTAAGTAACCTAGAATCGTGTGTACGACAGTGTGTGAATTTACGAGTGCATTCACACGTTCCTCGTCTATAGTCAGTTATCGATCTACGCTTCATTCATCGCGGACATTCACTGGAACTTTCGCTTTTATTTCCCGCTTCATTTCTTGCAAAGTGGCACAAGAGAATTGCCGCAAGTACTGCTTCCTCGAAGAGTGTATCTGCTCGACGTGACGTACGTACAGCTCTCAACCACATCTGCAATCGTGCTTGCGTGTAATCGCGCGTTTTCAAACACGTAAATATGATCGCGCGTAGGCAACACGCGTCCACGGAACGCGTTATCGATTGTTGTTGCTTGTACTTATTATTGACGGGCGTGATCGCGTCCGCCCAAGACTCTCTCTCGTATGGCAGCCGATACTATAATCGCGACGGTGTGTACGTGCCACAAGAAGAGGATAACCACAGGACCTACATGTATAAAGACAGAAGATATGGCTATCGGCCCAGCTACCTGGATCCTGTGTACAGAGGACCAACAAGAGCTCCAGAGGATCGGTACCTTTTTGATGTGAGTCAGAAACTGCTGCTACATGTAACATACAAGAACTTTTTATTCAATTAGAATTTATGCACAGAATTGACAAAAATATTTTTTACATTAATAAATCTGAATTCTACTCTAATTTTTAAATAAAAAGATGTATACATTAGAGACACCTAATGAGAATTATTAATTACTTACTGTTTTATTATAATTTATATATTGTGTCAATAGTCTCTTAAAATATTGTTGTTTTTGTTATCATTATAAAGAAATAAATATAGTAAATATTAATTTAAATTATATTGAAGGATACAACGGCAAGACTTCCATTGCCAGGAATATTGGCTGGCTGGCGTGAAGATCTTCAAGGAAAAGAAAGACCAGATTCTAAAAATTTCATTAGAAACAGAGATATACTTGTGAACACGAATTATGGTCAGGTTCAAGGATTTAAGGTTCAGTTGTATGATGATCCATATGCAACACACAGGCCGTGGAATATGGCAGTTGAAAGAGTTACAAAAGATGTTAATGTATTTTTGGGCATTCCTTATGCTATGCCACCCACCAGAGAAGGTCGTTTTAAACCTCCAAGACCTCACAGGTTAATACAAGATATCTTATAGAACATGTATTTTGTTTTTTTTCTATTCGATAACATCGTACTAAAAAAAGTGGATTTATTTCTATTTAGAGGATGGCAACTTTTACAAGCTGTTGATTGGGGACCAGCTTGTCCACAGCCTAGCGAATATACTGGTGCTACAAAAGGAGTACGTGACGTTGATGAGGACTGTTTATACTTAAATGTGTTTACACCATCAGTAAGTATATGCCACCTGCAAAGATAATAGATATTTTGATCAAATAACAACATTGATATTTTTATGACAGATTGGTGCTGGAATGGCACATAAGCATGCAGTAATGTTTTATATTCACGGTGGTGAATTTACTCATGGAGCTAGTAATTTGTTCCCGGCTCATATATTAGCTGCCTTCTACGATGTTGTCGTGGTATCCATCAATTATCGTCTTGGAGCTCTTGGTAAGTCCGACGATAAAGAATAATCATGTGTATGTGCATGGGAAAAATTAAAAAATTTTGCAGCATTAATATATAGCACGTATTATTATTAGTAAATTAATAATTTTTATTATATTTCTAGGATTCTTAAGTACTGCAGATGAAAATAGTCCTGGCAATTACGGGATCCTTGATCAAGCTATGGCACTGCGATGGGTGTACGACAATATAGCCGCTTTCAATGGAAATCCTGAAGCTATAACACTATTTGGACCAGGCGCTGGAGCAGCAAGTGCAGGATTACTAATGACAGCACCAAAGTAAGTGAGATTTGTATAAATTTTGCAATCTACAATTGTTTATTCTACAATTCTGTTTAATTCTATTCTATATTCCTATTTAATTTATTCAATAATTTACTAATTTTAATAATTTACTAATTTTATTGTATGTAGGACTCGTCGTATGGTATCAAAAGTAATAGCGCAATCCGGTTCAGCCGTTGCTGATTGGGCGGTGATAATAGACAAGTATCGAGCACAAAACACATCTCGGGTGTATGCAGAAATGCTTGGTTGAAGTATAGAGAGTAGTTGGAAATTGGTGCAATGCCTAAAAGACGGACGTAGTTTTCTCGAGCTGGGCAACTCCGAAATGAAACCACACGTAGGGATGTTTCCATGGGCGCCTGTGTTAGATATCAACTTTACGGTACCTCGAGATGATTGGTATGACGAATGGAGGGCACATGACTGGCGCTTTTTTCAGGAAACGCCGGAAGAGAGTATTAAAGCTGGCGGATATAGGAACGATTTAGCTTATATGGCTGGTGTTACGACTCAAGAAGCAGCATTTATTATACGTACGTCATCCATTGATTTGTTTATTTTCATTTCATTATGTTTATATTTTATCTGCAGTTTAAATTTTACTATTGTTAATTTTTTTTATTTGCAGGAAACAACGTTACTTTAGCAAGAAATCAATACATAATAGATCCTGAATTATTCGATCAAAAGATTTGGGAGCTGGTTCTTCGATATAACTATACTCTCAATCCACAAGGTGTTTATGAGGCGATAAAATATATGTATACATATTGGCCGGATCCAACGAACGTTACGCATATACGTGATCAGTTTATAAATGTAGGTGACAATGATACTGAAGTGAATTTTTATATTATATAGTTTTTTGCTAATAAAAATTGCTTAATATTTTCAGCTCTTATCAGATTTCCATTATGTAGCGCCGTATGATAAAATTGCCAAACTATTGGTGGAGAGACACGTACCAACCTATCTCTACGTTCTAAATACTTCAATAGAATCAATCCCAACGACACATTGGGCTAGAGTACCCCACGATACAGAACTTTTATGGTTAACAGGAGCACCGTTCATGGACACTGGTATGTTTTATCACACATAAAACGATTTTTTAATTTATTTAGCTAAATTTGTTTATATGTATTAACACGATATTATTAATGCAGAATTTTTTCCGCAAAAATGGAAATTGAGAAGAGAAATGTGGACTGACAATGATCGTAATATGAGTCATTTCTTCATGAAAGCGTACTCTAATTTTGCAAAAGACGGAAATCCGACACCTTCGCAAATCTTAGGACTGCACTTTGATCGCGCTATTTATGGACAATTGCGATACTTGAACATCAATACGACATTTAACAGCAGTATTCAAATCAACTATCGTCAAACGGAAAGTGCATTCTGGTCCATGTATTTGCCGACTGTTATCGGTCATCTTGTTCCTACGTATCCTCCTGTTACTGAAGTAAGATGCTGCAATTTGTATACAATATTTGATACACATATCATATAAACTGTATTTATTATCAACGATTTTCATTATAGTATTGGTGGGAACCTAAACAACCGCTGCAAATTGCTTTCTGGTCGATGTCAACGGCGTGTTTGCTGCTACTTGTACTTACTGTGGTGTGTTGCATGCTTTGGCGTAACGCCAAAAGGTAAGAAAAGGTAAACAGAACCAAATCCCTGTGACTACAGCTTTATTCGGTGGCATTTGCTATACCGAACGGTAGCGCATGCGGAAACTGGTTCTGGTAAATGGATACTATTATCAGATATGGTTTCTTTACCGTACTTTTACGTAACCATCTCTTAATAAATTGCTAATTAACTTTATTCTTGCTTACGATTAGCAAAACAAAGAGAGCTAGGATGCATGCAGGTATTTATAAAAAATACTTCAGGCACAATTTTTTGCACATTATGCTTATCACATAGCGTTTTAATGACACGTTTCACATGTATATATTATCATATAATTTATAGGATTAATTAATTGATTAATTGATATAGTTTATAGGATTATTTAATTGAATAGGAAATTATAAATAGAAACTAAATTATGATATATAAGATACATATAATCAAATTGTTAATTTTATGTACTTATACTTACTTATATTTAGATGCGTAGTATCCCTCTGTATCATTTTTTTTCTGCAGACAATCTGATCACTACTATAGCGGAGACATCTTGATGGTGCGAGACGATGAGCATTCCGAGGGAATCGAGAATATAACACGCGCATCCAAAGAAAATATATATGAATATCGTGATGTACCACCAATCCAGAAGTCCAGAATACCACGACAAAACGATACAAAACTGCAAGAACGTTTAGCACATAACAGGAAGTTCAGTTCTACACCTTCATTGCGATCCAATTCTAATGTCTCATTGAAAGATATGAGATCGGAAGGTTTCGTTACAAGTTCACCTAATGGTCAGCTTAAGCTAGCAAAAACGATGAGTCAATCTTCACTGCCGAAAGCTAAAAGTAAAACACTTTTAGTACAGGGAGTACCACAAACAGCTGTTTAATAGTTAAGTTACCACTATATAAATCGACAAACGTTTTATTTTTATTTATTTTTATACCTAGGTTTTTTAAATAAATTAATAAATTTTGAAAAGAAGAGCATCGATCGTTTTTACAAAATGCCATATAAAACATTAAATTAAAATTAAAAAAAAAAAACATAATTTTACGAGAGTTTTAAAAATATATATATATACAAAAAATAACGTAATTAAAAAATTTATATGATTCGACGCTCTTAATTATTTATTACAAATGATGTAAAATTATATTGCCATTGATTAATATATTTTGCGAATTTTTGGAGAAATATTGAGAGATATACAGGTACATATATAAAAGTTGTCATATTTGCATTTTGAATTGCACAACAATCATGCAACAATGCCATTTATATGTAAAGTCATACAGTTAATAATTAATGGATTTTTAAAATCCTGATATTTCTATTATAAAGTAGAAAAGAGAAAAAATTTTAAGAATTACACCTTATTATAGTACCTACGGTGATTACTGTGTTTCCGTCCATAAGAACAAAATAATGTATAAATGAAAAAACTTTTACATATTTTATATGTATTATTACCAGATTTTTATGTATATCAGATTGTATGTATAAATACTAGATTTTTATATTATTTTAAGAAGTTGATTTTACTTTTGTAAAAAATTCAATCAAATTATTACGTAAGATAACTATTTGTGGATAAAGAGGAAAAACACAACACAAAAGATGTTGCATTTAAGTGTTTTACTTTTTTTATTAAAAATAATCATGCATAATTAACATTTATATAAATAAGTATTTTCTGTACATTTGATATATTCATTATGTAATATGTTTATGTAGTATATACATACATACTTGATTGTTCGTGATATTTAGAAGCAGGTTTCAAATGCAACATTCAATTTATTATATACTAATTGTAAGTGCCTCATTCAGTATATAATTTGAAGTAGACTAAGTGCCTTACTCGTTAAAATCTACAAACTAGGCTAAACGCACAAAATTACTTTATACATCACAACTATACATATATTTAACAATTTTATATACAAAAATAGTTTTAGTAGATTAACGATCTCATTATCACTGAAGTTATAATGTAATTGTAAGTCAGCCACTTTTGAGATTAATGTTACATTTGCACATGCACTCTTGCAGTAATTTTCAATATTTGTATTATTTACTACTTGCGCATATATAATTTTATATGTATAAAGAATTTAGTTCATAAATATGTTTATAAATATGTGCTGTATAAGATTTTTTATAAAAAATCCAAAATTATTTCTTAATAAATAAAATTACATTGCAACAATTTATATAAATTGTTATTATTTAATGAATATTATAAACTTATATCGGATAATAAAACGTAAAATTTTATCTGAAGCAATTATTTTAAAGTTATATAATTATAAAGTGACTGTATAAACCTCCCTATTTTATTTGCATATATAAAATAAATTTATTTGAAACAGCTGTACACTATCATCATCTATACTTGTCAGATACAGAAGTATTGCATTTTATGTTTTTTTCCCCTCATTACATATGTTGTACATCAGTGTAGCCAGATTTGAGACGCAAGTAAAATTGAGCTTCGCGCTTCGACTAGCTTCGTCTTAAATAAGATATCTTTAGGACATCCTAAAAACGACACCAAAAAAGACGTTTTTAATTTCTGTAACAATTGGCATTTTACTACAAAAAACTTTCCAAAAATGTTAAAAGAGAGGTTTCAATTATTTAAGTATTTTACGAGCATCCTAACACTGTTAAAAGTAGTTTAGAAGCATGTAGAAAAATTAAAATTTCCCATTGGAACGGCTCGAAACGCTCCATTTGGCAATGACAGTGACGTCCATTTTAGCCGGGATTGGGAAAAATTGTAACAGGAACACATGATGATAGAGGAGCTCGTACGAGAACACTTACTATCGGTGGCACTTATCAGCACACTTACCATCAGTGGTTTCGTCATGTTGCAACAGTTGACCAAAAGATGGCTACTTTTGGTCAACTGTTGCAACATGATGAAACCACTGATGGTAAGTGTGCTGATGATAAGTGCCACCGATGGTAAGTGTTCTCGTACGAGCTCCTCTATCATCATGTGTTCCTGTTACAATTTTTCCCAATCCTGGCTAAAATGGATGTCGCCTTCATTGCCGATTCGATAAGAAAGGAGATAGAAATAGTACGTCTGCTCTTTTCTAATGTTCGCAACTAGCCGAAGCGCGGAGCTCACATGTATGTACGTGCTTGTGCATGCGTCGGTATTCTCTCCCTCATGCTGCTTGCTGCTTGCGTCTAAAATCTGGCCACACTGATGTACATGCGTACATTTTTCAGCATGGTTACGTGTATAGTTATGTGCAGCGGTGTAAAACAATAATAAAATTAATTTTATAGTTGGGATTAATTACAATTAATCTTTGAAATTGTTAATAACAAAGGAAAATTGGTAATTACAGACCAAGATAATATATTTATATCTATTATTTAAATGTGGTTTATTACTGACAAAAAATACATATAACAATCCGATTAAATGCCTTTTATTTAAACAAATTAGATCTAACAATATTAGATTTGGTAATTCTAATGATAATTTTATGGTAAAACGATCAAATATAATACAGTACATAACCTTACGATACATTTTAACAAATATATATGTATTATATATATACATATACAAAAAAATCATTTTTTTAAATATCTTGTTAATTAAATGAATACATTAGTTGAATACATATAAAAAAGACATATATTTTCGCAACAGATTGTAAATAAAATATGTATCAGCTTTATATGCTAAAATTTATATACAATGTTTTTCAACAAAAATGTTATTATTAATGTAATTAGTTTTATTTTTTATAACATATGTTGTCTGCTTAGAATATTAATACATGAATCTTTATAATCTACTTATATTACTGATATATGCTTTAAAAATTTTAGAATTTTAAAATGCAGAAATTTAGAAAAGCTCAAGTGCAAAATAAATTGTCTATTGAAAGACATTTGGAAGCCAACGCATCATTAAATTACTCTAGTGAAGAGGAAGATGAAACAAATGAGGAAGATGTCCAAAATGTAGTGGACAAAGTATTATCGGCATACCAGGGACAAGGCACAGATGCAGAAAAAGTGATATCATATCTAGTTAATTCTTTTCAATCTAGCAGTGCAGTTTGTTTGATATGTATATCAACTGTCAAAAAAATAGATCCGGTATGTTTACTTAGCATTAATATACATATTATTATATGCTACAAATTTAACTTTATTAATTTTTACTGTTCTAAGACAGTATAAATTTTTAATAGAACTATTATGTGATAAAAAACAGTTTATTATATAGATATTCTTTATTATACAGATTTGGAATTGCAACAAATGCTATGCATTTTTACATATGAATTGCATTTTACATTGGATTAATGACAGTTTGAGTTATAAACGGGCTAAAAATATTACTCCAATCTGGGCATGGTATGTATTGTAAATATTATTCAAAATAATACATTGTTAATGCAAAATTTCAGGTAAAATGCACTAAAGTTTTTGTTTAATATACCAAAGAAAAATATATATATATATATGTATATTACAGCCCAAAATGTCGTATGGAATATGACCAGGATCAGATTCCAAGATCATATGAATGTTTCTGTAAAAAAACTGCGGATCCTCCACATCAACCATGGATTATTCCACATTCCTGTGGCGAGAGCTGCGGCAAGCTCTTACAACCAGAATGCGGTCATAAATGTGTGTTGCTTTGTCATCCTGGTCCATGTCCACCATGTGCAAAGATGGTGTTGGTTAAATGCTACTGTGGCAAACTACCAGCACAGCCACGTCGTTGTAATGCTAAAAGCTGGAGCTGCCAAACTGTATGTGACAAAAAATATGAATCTTGCTCACACACTTGCAATAATTTATGTCATACTGAAGAATGTCCACCTTGTGAGGAAATTGTACTACTGAAATGTCGTTGCAAGAGCAGTCAAAAGGAAGGAAAATGCTACGAAAGTACATGGATCTGCGAGAAACCTTGTAAGAAAAGATTTTCTTGTAATGTACACATTTGCGAGAGTACTTGTCATTCATCCGGCGATTGTGGTAACTGTCCCCTGGAGAAAAATAGATGTTGCCCATGTGGAAAGAAACGTTATGACGTTTCCTGCAGACAGCAGCAAGTGCCAACGTGTGGTGACACTTGCAGCAAATTGTTAGACTGTGGATCACATTTCTGCAACATGAGATGCCACACCGATCGCTGTGGTCAGTGTTTGGAAGTTATAACAAAAGCATGCAAATGTGGCAGCTATACAAAAGAGATCGCCTGTGTGAAAGAATTTCACTGCAACAAGAAATGCACACAGATGCGCTTGTGCGGCAGACATCTGTGTAACAGAAAGTGTTGCGATTGTATATTGAAGAACACATCCAATCCTTGCGAGAAGACGTGCGAGAACACGCTTAATTGTCGTAAGCACAAGTGTGCCGCTCCTTGTCACAGCGGCCCTTGCTATCCGTGCACCAGGACGGATGTCATACAATGTCGATGCGGCAGCAACAAGATAACAGTGCCATGCGGTACCAAAAAAAGAATTAAGCCACCATCATGTAATAAGTCCTGCAAGATTCCACCAATCTGTCATCATACCAAGAGGGAAACGCACAGATGTCACCAAGGCCCGTGTCCACCGTGCAAGAAAGTTTGCGGCTTGATATACAAGAGATGCGGTCATTCTTGCCCAGCTACTTGTCACACTAAAGTCTGGATGAAAGTCAGAGTGAACGGGGTAAAGGCGCAACCTACCGGCCCCTGGGAAAAACCAAAAGATGTTATGGAATTGAAAACCTTACCATGTCCACCGTGCGAAATTTCTGTGCCCGTGACCTGTTTCGGTGGTCACGAGACACAGCCTTGGCCATGCCACATGTCAAGACCAAGTTCTTGTGGCAGATTTTGCGGCCGATCACTGTCGTGCAAGAATCATACTTGCGAGTTGACTTGTCACAAAGTACAAGCTTCTGACGACGAATCTGGCAACGGTATTCCATGCATGGAATGTGAAAAGGAATGTCAATTCGCACGTCCAACAGGTTGCACGCATACCTGCCCGCAACCTTGTCATCCAGCACCATGTAAACCATGCAAGCAGTTAGTGCGAATCTCCTGCCACTGTGGTATTAGCACCCTTTACCGGCATTGTGTAAACCTGACGTCCGCAACAACTAAGGAGCGCGACGAATTGCTCAAATGTGGAAACCAATGTCCTAAAAATGTAACTATATTTATATAATTTGGAAAGTACATATAAATTCTGCTTCCTTCATAGATAGCCTAATGTGTTTCTTTATTTCAGTATCCATGCGGCCATCGTTGTATTAACGATTGCCATCCGGGAGTATGCAAAGGCGGGGAAGAATGCAACAAGAAAGTCAGATTATGGTGTAAGTGTAAACGGATCAAGAAAGATTTTCTTTGTTCCTTTCTACAAAAGGAACAAATTACTGTAGAGTGCGACAATGTGTGTGAATCATTGAAGAATGAAAGAAAAGAGGCCCAAGAGGCTATGATAGCAAAGAAGCGAGAAGCGGAAGAATTGCGCAATCGGGAAGAGATCGAAAAATTCGAGAAAAAGTTCAAGCCACGGCGAAAGAAAAAAGACAAGAATGAAAACTCGAAACAGTCCCAAGAGAGTATGAGAAACAAATATTGGAGCATGTGGATTTTAGCGATTGCCATAAGTCTTATAGGTATTATAATAGTGTACGTGACTGCTCCTGATCTAAGTATACTTGGTCTGAGCTGATTCTATAAACTGATTCCAAATTTATAATCGTTTATAATAACGAACTGATCCTAAATTTATAAATTATTTATAATTTATGGATAAACGAAAAGAGGCTCTGTGATGTATCAGTGTTTATATAGAAACTATTATGATAAACAATTCCATTTATCTAGTTTATATTATCAATGGAAGTAGTTGTAATTGTGACATTCTTTACATATTACACATTTATAGCCAATAATAGAGGCCTAATAATCGTTTGAAGAAAATCAATTTTTATTTCAAAGATTTGAAGATGTGTAATTTTGACATACTTTTACGGTAATTTTAATAATAGCTTAACATATATGTATATGATAGAATCCAAAGAATTTTATTTTAAGATAATATATAAATTGTATTTACTAAGTGCAGACTTAATATTGAATGTGTATCTTACTAAATATTCTGATATTGTCATATTATATGTGAGAAGATGATACATCAATCATATAGGACTTAAGTATGTTTAAAAATGAAGAAACTAGAATAAAATTGAAATTAATTAGGACAACTACATAATAAAAGATGTAAGATTTTTATTTTAAATTAGTTTCTTTTAATATTAAGCATATTAGATACGGACATTCCAAGATTTAAAAGTTCACATTTTTGTAAGAAACACAAGATGCATTTTTGAAAAAATAATGCTTTCATAATAAAGTTAAAATATATATGACAAACAGTAAAATTGTATAATAAATATCATTTATATTTCCTGAATACACATCCATCAGAATTGTTTTTTAATTGATCGCATTAAAAGTGCACATAAAGTTTAATGTAATTTAAGAAAAAATACATTGGAATTGTATTCTTCAATCTTTCTTTGCAAAATAAGAAATAGTAGCATTTTGCGAAGTGACAAAGATTACATTATGTAACGATAAAACTTTCTTTTCGTAGTTGCTCAAAGACCCGGACCAAAATATGTAAATTAGTGGACTAAAGATTTGTCGAATTCGGCATATTTAAATTTTCTTGTATTTGGAATAAAACATGATAAAAAAAATGTAAGCTTTAGAATGGAGTGAAGAAGAAAAGAAAAACAAAATATAGATTGTAACTAAACACAAACGACCTCCGGACTTTCGTAGCTGTGCGTCGATACCGACCAGTAACACCCATCAGAAAGTGCACGATCGTAACGCTAGAGCGGCCGTCCGATCGCGCAGCAGATGATGTCCGCCAATATCGCGACGGTAAGCCTATGCTCGTAGTACCGTTGATGGTCGTGATTCATGTGCTGTGAGCATCGTTCGTGGTCTGCGGATAGATATTCCGTGCTGTTAACGACGGTGATATTATTGGCGCATCGAAAATTCGCATCGTACACTGCGACGGTACTGTCATATCGGACCGCTCAATTATGTCACGGGGGCGACCGTACTCGCGCCCGCGGCTACTTCACTGAGATCGGTGAGCAACCACCGAGCAAATCGTGACACTCTCACGGCGGCGGACGACGAAAAAAAAAAGAAAGAAAAGAAAGGAGATCGGCTCCATCGGGTTGTTGACAGAAGCGCAATATTTCCCTCTTGGCTCCGACTCTTCGACTCTACCGTGTGTCTGTCTAGTTTTCCGCGTCTCTTTCTCTCTCGCTGCTTCCCGTCTCCCTCCCTCCTTCGCGCGCTCCTTGCGCTCTCGTGGCCCATCGTCGTTGTCGCTCTTCCCCGCAATCGTCAAAAGCGCGTACCTTATCCCTCTTGGCTTTGGCGTTTCGCTCGCCGGGCTGGAAAAATAGTGGCTCGCACGTAAAGAGAGGCGTCGCGTGTGACGTTAAATGGTCGCGAGGAGGAAGCTACCCGTCGTCGATCCTCTCCACGTTGTCACAGCGAGTGCGGTTTAGTGATTGTACTTGGCCGCGGTGATCCGCGATCATCGGCTGTTCCCGATACGTAAATGAGTGCACGCTACGCTTAAACAGAAGCAGCGGTGTCAATGTATACGCGGCGCAGCGCGCTTATCAAAGCAGCATCGTCGAGACGGCATTTCTGAGGAGAGGAGGACCTTTCGCACACATTGAGACCGAAAATTCGACATGATGAAGAGCAGTGCCCTGATGAAGAAGGAGAGCAAAATGCGCATACGTGCTTTTCCGGTGAGTGCCGTGGAGCGCGATAAAAACGTAGTTGAGCATCATTTTACATTACGCGTCTGTCCTTATTTATTTATTCAATGTCGTCAACAAAGCGATTTTTCAAATATAATGCTTCTACTTGTTTAAATATCTTTAAATATCTTTGTGATTGCAATTTACAAATATATTTATATATTTTCTAACTTGCATTAATTCACTTAGTTCAATCTTACTATATATACTTTTTTATGATACATTTGAGAAATATCTTCGTAAAAGTTTAAATGTCAACTGATATATAATTGACTAGAAAATAAGGTCAGATAATATGTTGGGTTAGATATTCAGATACTTTAGATAGAATATCTACAAATACAATCAATTATTAAAAAATAATTAGAAATAATTTGGCACTTACTTACAATTAGATCATTATTTAGAATAAATATTTATTTAATGTGACATTGACATTAATATTTATGTGTTCCTATATCCAATAAGTAATTTCCTTCAAGCCAATTAAATATCAATTGAATTAATTGCACAAATTTTGAAATACATAATATATTTCAGATTTTTTATATTAAAACTACTTATAAAAAACTTATGAAAAATGATATTTTTAATCAGATTTATGTGAAATAAATAATTATGTGTGATATATCCTATATATTTTGTTTCATGAATTAAATATATCAATAATATTTTTGGTATTTGACATTTTTCTGGTATCTTTCTTGTATAATTATGAATTATGTACATCTGTATTGTTATATTATTACATGCAATATTTAAATGAAGATAAATTTATTGTTGACAGTATATACATATATTCTTAAAAAATGTTTATATCTGAATATATTCCCAAAAGTAACAATAATTAATGGTTGCTATAGTAGTGTAAAAGACTATATAACCATGTCATGTTACATGTTAAATTTTTAAATGTCATCTTAGTATTTTTTTAAATTTACAATGCTAGAAATGTCTCATTTTTTTAATGAATATCACAACAAGGTAAAATAATGTCAGTAATTTATATTAAAAAATGAAATAATATTGGCCAGATTCTATACTTTGTATATAATATTTTGCTTGTATATAGTGGTTTTTATGTAAAATTTAATATATAAAAATATATGAATTTTTTAATTATTTGATTTCCAATTTCTGTCAAATCAAATTAGTATAACTAAATTTGATTATGTTTTATATTTAATTCTATAATAATGTATAACTTTATAGTTATAATATACGATTTGTATAATTTTTAAATTAAAATTAAGACTTTATTGCTTAATAATTGATATCCATATAATTACATCCGGTCAATATCACATCAATTTAAATGTATTTGATAAAATGTAACATAAAATGTTAAAGAGGAAAGAAATTCTAAGGTTATTTATAAGTATATATTTTCATAATCAAGGTTGTGATTGAATAAAACAAAATACATACAAGCAAAATTTGTAATAAAAAAATAGAATCATGGATTATCAAAATGAAGACTATAATTTACAACAAAAAGGCAGAATGGGTGAGGCAATTCCTGCATCAGGATTAATATATAAAAATTATCCTCTCATAATTCGTGATACTCTTGTGAGAATTGTTCTCTTTTACATCTTCTTTTACTACACTTCCATATATATAAATATTCTTGATAAGCAATTATGTCATTGCATTTGTTATTTTGTGCTATAATATATTTTTATATATAAATTATGTTTACAAATGTAATTTAAGCACTTTCAAAATGGTTTTTTTAGTCACGATTTAATAGAAATATTTTTATTTTATTTAATTAATAGCTCTGTAATTATTACAAATGTTCTATTTTCGCAGACAACTATGGATGAGAAGTATGTGGAAAGCATTTGGGCCTTACTAAAGAGTGCTATTCAAGAAATACAGAAGAAAAATAACTCTGGCCTCAGTTTTGAAGAACTTTATCGCAATGCTTATACAATGGTTCTTCATAAGTATGGAGAACGCTTGTACACAGGACTGAAAGAAGTTGTAACGCATCATCTTGAAAACAAAGTGCGAGAGGATGTTCTTCGCTCTTTGCATAATAATTTCTTGCAAACTTTAAATCTTGCATGGAATGATCATCAAACGTCAATGGTGATGATCAGAGACATTTTGATGTACATGGATAGAGTGTATGTTCAACAAAATGATGTAGACAATGTGTATAATCTTGGATTAATTATTTTTCGAGATCAGGTAATTTTCACGTAACATTTTAATTCTTTGTATTTAAGTATCGTATAAAGCAAATTTTAAAATTGTAAAGTTTTAAAACAAAATTTTGATTTGTCTTTTTGATGATTGTTTTATATTTTTAGAAATATCACATATATCGATTCAATAAATTGATAAGTTTCTTGTTAATTTTAGGTGGTCAGATATGGATGTGTCAGAGATCATTTACGAGAAACATTATTAGGTATGGTTGCAAGAGAGAGAAGAGGAGAAGTTGTAGATCGTAGCGCTATAAAAAATGCCTGCCAAATGTTAATGTTACTTGGAATTAACAGTCGCCAAGTTTATGAAGAAGATTTTGAAAGACCTTTTTTACAACAAAGTGCTGAGTTTTATAGAGTGAGTGTAATAGAAAATATGTTTAATATATAATTCAGAATGTACTTTCTTTTATACACATGTTACACTTAAGACTTATTTTCTTTAGATGGAATCTCAAAAATTTCTGGCTGAAAATAGCGCATCGGTATACATAAAAAAGGTTGAAGCTAGAATTTGTGAAGAATCTGAAAGAGCGAAACATTATTTAGATGAATCTACTGAACCACGAATAGTAGAAGTCGTAGAAGAAGAATTAATCAAAATCCACATGAAAACTATTGTTGAGGTACGTTATTTTTGATTCGCATTATTAATTAGTGATATGATTCAACTTACACTTTTGTGTATTTGGCAGATGGAAAACAGCGGTGTAGTACACATGCTCAAAAATCAGAAAACAGAAGATCTTGGTTGTATGTATAAACTATTTTCAAGAGTGTCGGACGGATTACGCACTGTATGCGATTGTGTATCTCAATTCCTTAGAGAGCAGGGTCGTGCTTTAGTGCAAGAAGAGCATGAATCAACAACAAACGCTGTTCTTTACGTCCAAAACTTGTTAGATTTAAAAGATCGCTTCGATCATTTTCTACATTATTCTTTCAATAACGATAAAAATTACAAACAAATGATAGCTTCGGACTTTGAATACTTTCTTAATTTAAATCCTAAAAGCCCGGAGTATCTTTCACTTTTTATCGATGATAAATTGAAGAAAGGTGTTAAAGGGGTTGGTAACATTTATTATTTCTATACAGAACTACATTCCATTGTACAATTTTTTATGCTAATATATTGGATTTTAGATGACAGAACAGGAAATTGAAGGAATCTTAGATAAAACTATGGTCTTATTCCGCTTCTTACAAGAGAAGGATGTATTTGAACGGTACTATAAGCAACACTTAGCCAAGCGGTTATTATTGAATAAGTCAGTTTCAGATGACAGTGAAAAGAATATGATATCCAAGCTTAAGGTAAGAATATCGCGATTATTCTATTTATATCTGAATTGGCATTACTTATATGTATAATAATGAAACTCGTAGATTACATGTAATGATTATTGTGTAGAAATATAATTAGTTAATTAAGTTATTTTTACAGATGAGAGAATTAAAATTAATTTGCGTTATTTGATTTGATCGGGTACAATTTCCTATTTTGTCAAATTATTAATATATTTTTTTTTTTAATTATTTCTGTAATGTGAGAAAAGTTATACACTATTATAGTATATAACTTACATAGTTCTATATACAGTTCTATAAGATATTTTTATTTTTAAATAAATATAATATGCATTTAATTTCATTCTTTCAGACTGAATGCGGATGTCAGTTCACATCGAAATTGGAAGGCATGTTTAAAGATATAACAGTCAGCAACACTATTATGGATGAATTCAAAGATCATGTTCTTACATCAGGTGTAAGTATCAGTATATCACAATAAACTTGAAGAGTTTAGTCGGAATACGGCGTGCTCCACCCATGTTATTTTTCCAAAAATATAGATTATTTTTATAGAAAAATATAGATTTGTGTAATATTAAATTACATGTTAGCGTAGTTGAAACTTATTGATACCGTTTCTTTAGCAGAATTAATTCTATAACTAATATTCTGCTTATGCTTACTTAGAACATTAAAAAACATATATTTTACATAAAAGAATTTATATATATTTATATATTTCTACATAGCGATATATTTTTTATTTTTTCTACTTTTTGTTTTATAAAGACGAACTTACATGGTGTGGATATAAGCGTTCGGGTACTCACAACTGGTTTCTGGCCAACGCAATCAGCCACTCCAAAGTGTAGTATGCCTACCGCACCGCGCGATGCCTTCGATGCCTTTCGGCGCTTCTATTTGGCTAAACATAGCGGTCGACAATTAACATTACAGCCACAATTAGGTAAGTATAGATATTTATGAATATTATTTATTAATAACTGTTCGTCCTAATAGTTGATAATAACATGGATAAAAAAAATCTTGCAGGCTCTGCAGATCTGAATGCTGTTTTCTATGGACCACGAAGAGAAGAGAGTAATTGTGGAGGTTTGGATACTCCATCATCTTCAAGTTCTATCGGAAATGGTAGTAGCGCTAGCAACAGTTTAGTGAGTCAGCGAAGCAGCAGTGTATATAGTACACCGCGAAAGCACATAATACAAGTTTCCACATACCAAATGTGTGTGTTAATGCTGTTCAATAAAAGGGAAAGGCTAACATATGAGGTTAGTTTCAATATAATTTCAAACGACCAATTAATCACATTTATAAGGATACACATTCATAATATATGAAAAATTAAAATATTCATAATTTCTGCCATGTATATATGTATGAATGTTGTGTAGGAAATTCAAGGTGAAACCGATATTCCAGAGAGAGATTTGGTTAGAGCATTACAATCTCTTGCCATGGGTAAAGCTACACAAAGAATTTTACTTAAATATCCTCGTACTAAAGAAATCGAACCTTCGCACTGTTTCTGTGTGAACGACAGCTTTACTAGCAAATTACATAGGTATTGCGTTCTTATACAATAAATAACGTATGATTATATGTATAAACGTATATGTAATGTATAATAAGCACTTAATACTCGTATTGTTTTGTGAAGAGTAAAAATCCAGACCGTAGCTGCGAAGGGAGAATCTGAGCCTGAGAGAAGAGAGACGCGCAATAAAGTTGATGAAGATCGAAAACATGAAATTGAAGCAGCCATCGTGCGGATTATGAAGGCCCGCAAGCGTATGCCTGTACGTACAAAAACTTTTACTAATTAATTTATATATTGAAATATATTTTGCAAATAAAAAGCATATGTACGCTTTAACAAGATTATTTCTAATGCAAGATATGCGATACTAATGTTAATTAATTTTCTTTTATCAGCACAACATACTCGTAACAGAAGTAACAGAGCAATTGAAAGGTCGATTTTTACCTTCACCTGTAATAATTAAAAAACGTATCGAAGGTTTAATCGAACGGGAATATTTGGCTCGTACACCGGAAGATCGGTATGTAAGACATGTTATACAAATAATCGCTTTTTATTGAGTTAACGAACTAATCATCTATTGTGATTATTTACAGAAAAGTGTATACATACGTTGCTTAATGCTGAGTTCAACATTGGATGTGTACAAACATGTAAGTAATTTGTAATAATATGTATCCTCTTATCACATTAATGAATCTTCACATTTTATTCATCGAATCGTGTCAACATTATTATACATTATTATCATTTGTGGCGTCATTATTGTTATCTTCTCGTTATTATTTCATTTCTTATTTGTGAGAAGTTATGCCTAAGGGATGTTCCATACCAACGAGAAAATAATAGTCGTAGAATTTTGATTTTTTGATAAACATATTAATACTTTTTTTTATTTTATTTGCGGGAATGTAGGATTGAAAAAGTTAATGATAAAGTATCAATTAAAATATATTTAGTATAACGAATATGATTTTATCTTTGTCTTATCGTAATCGTGTATCCTGTTACATGTAAATATACAAACGCAAAGATCAAAGGTAACAAAAGATAGGCCTAGTATTATTATTGCTATACTATTATTTGTTATCAGATGTTGAGCATATTGTAAGGTGCTTATTTTTAATGCATGCATATATGTATGCATGTATATTAATTTTTTGTACAGTTTCCAGTAAAATTTATGTAGAATTGAAATTTATTACATTACATTGTGTGTTATGTTATATTACATTGTGTGCGACATGAAATATCTAATTTGAATAAAGCATATTTTACTTGTTGTTACGGGACATCTCTACAATTGAAATGAATGGCAAGATATTCTTTTGATAATTGACTAGTTTGGTGGAAAAGGTCAATATATGTATGAAAAGATTGATGCATACTTTAGGTTTAAATTGGGGATGCGCTTTAATATTTTTTGTAACAATAGAATTGTATCTGCTCCCCAACACTTTATATTTAATTATTACTTGCGCATTTGTTTGATTTTACACCTGTATTATAACACATGTGTAAAACATGTGAGCACTCATTATAATAAATATGTAACTACGTAGACTTTAGTTAACGTGCGTTTCTAATAATGCGAAATATAGTTAAGTTACTAAAGAATTCAATGATTCGATGATTATGATTGATAATACTTGCAATTAGAAATTTTTCTACACTTGTAAGACTGTGATTGTCTATGATAACATAAATATTCGGATATATCGTGAATTTAGGAAGAAAAATGGCATTTACATATAGTTTTATTTACGTTGATGTCTATGATTATATATGTAAATAAGCTATGTGAAATGTATTACTAAGAATATACTTGTCTCATTTCCAACAACTTTTAATATTATTTTTGACTTGTGTTCTCCATATATATCCTTAAACATAAATTTATGTTTATCTCTTTATAAAATGACATATAAATCGTACGCAAGCGTCGATTTCTACTAGCTCCATTCTTTTATATATATATATATATATATATAGTTAAGATATGCTCATATTCATTTTATATTTAATTAAATATATATTCTGATCATAGTAATAAATGTATACACTTCAATGTGTGTGCTGACAAACTTAACAGCTTCCGCCTCTTCCACCTAGCTTTTCAATTATTTTATTACAGTTTAATCAGTCACTGACTTGGTACAATGCAGAATATTTATTGTAGTATGCCAAAAGTGTGGGATCTATGAATCTGTAAGAGATGCAGAAATTGTTAATGGGATAAAATGTGCGCATGAGCTAAAATAAAGATGAAGATCTTATAATAAACTGCTGAAGTTCAATTCGAACATGTATTACACAGGCTCATGCTGTAGTGAAGAAAGGCGAAACAAACGGCGTCGTATTTTTATTTGTATTTCTCTTTATTTATTAATATAGAGTTTTAATATTTAAATGAAGGTTTTACCCTTTCTTACATAAAACTGAATAAAAATAAAATCTTACAACAGTATTTATTATTCTTGAAACATTTACCCAATACATTTATTTTCTATATAAAGTTTAATACGCCAAGCAAATACAAAATATCCAATTTATCCTTGAATAACTCTCATGAATATATATATATAATGAATTTATGAATTGCATGTATGCAATATGCATGAATATATATATATAATAGTTTTATATCTACTTGTATCAGAGAGAATATTTACAACTGAACAGATTTCGTATATATGTCGATCATATTTATTCGTAATACTAAAAATAAATGCGAAATTATTCACGAATACAGTAATAATAGTGTTGTAAGCCTATCAATTGAGATAAGGATATAATTCACACATATGCATAAATAGATGTGTAATTTTTTTCACATTAATAACAAATATCCAATATAAAGAGTATTATTCAATTAATATCTTTACAGTCTTTACAATGCACTAATAATTAATGGTATTCCGATATTTATTGTCTTAAGGAATTTGGATATAATATTGAGCAGAAGTTATTTGTCAAGTTAGGAATATCGTTATGATTGCAACAAAGTGGAAATAATTCTTATATGTTGTTAAATAGACATCTTTACAATATTCTGTTTGCAAAAACTATTTTTAAAAACAGATTCCTTTTTTTTGTTTTATTTTACAACGTTAAATTCTTTAGTAATTTACACAGATTATTTAAATATATGTACTAGTAAAAACTTAATAGCAAAATTTCTATTAGCGTATTTATACATCTGTCAAAATGTTATTATAAATAGCTGCATAAATGTGAATTACAGATTGAAGAGCAAATAACAAACACCATTGTATATATAATAAAAGTTTTAGAAACTATTCACACACAAATATATTGAATAGGAATAATAATTTATATTATGCTTATATCAATAACAAGTTATTCCTAAAATTATATTTTTTAATCCCATATAGATATAAAATAAACACACCACACAGTACAAAGAAGACATTTCGCGTTCTAGAACCAAGATTTTTTTTAGATTTACATTATATACGTAGAGCTACACACACTTTATACTATATAGAGAGGTGTAATAACTTATGACCCACCCATATCTTATCGAGACGTATAAAAAAGATATTAACACAATTTCCATGTAAATTAATCTTTAGTCTTTCAAGCCTACTATGGAAATTGGAAGCTGCGGATGGAAAGATAAAAGTGACTAGAGACTTCTTTCCGATGCTTTCAATTTTATATTTAATATTTTGGTTATTCTTTCTAATATATAAGAATTTGAAAAAATGAGTTTTTAAAATTTTGTATTTCACATCTTGAACATTTTTCTAATTTTTTTTGTTATTTGCCACAAGAGAATAATCGATACAAATTTAATATATTAGACAAATTTTATATTAAAACAACTTAAGATAATTCTGTACAGAATATAAACTAAAGTTTGCAGTCTCTCAGTCCTGCAAATGTCATGTCATGTTTTAATTGGATATTCATTAGAAATACAATCATTCAGAATAAAAAATAAAAATGAAAAATATTGTAAATGTTAATAGATATTTTTCAATTAAACCAATAGATAAAGAAAAGTTACATTATACGTTGAGTTTACATATTGTAAATTATAAATGAAAAAAGAATAATAATTATGATTGAAAGTGCAACCATAATATGAAGTTGCAATTATTATCTTTTATTTTTATTCATCAAATAAATTAATTGAAAATTGAGAGCAAACATTGTTCGTTTTTTATTAGATTAGATCTTAATATTTTAGTAACAGTTATATATATATAAAGCAGTAGCTATAAATTTGAAATGCAATCATAAATTAACATCTTAAACGACATTGGAAATTATGTACTTTAATACATACTGTATTATATATGTTGCTACATTTGAAAACATGATGGCTCTTGTTGAGCCTTTTTCATCGTATACATTCCTACAGGATCAAGCTGGAATGTAACGACCGTTCAAATAAACCAAGGTATAACTGCATATGACTTCAAGTATAAATTGTATACAATATGATACAGAGTTATTTATCATGTAATTTACTGTACTCTGAAAAATTCATACCATTTCTTATAAATATTACAATTTGCGTATATTCATATCGTCGGTGTTAACCAATACTGTACAGAGTCATCTCAACTTGATCTATGAGATTCCATGGGGATTAACAGACAGGTATACATTGGCTTGAGTTTGAATCAACTGACGAGCGGCAGGCATCGTGGTGGTTGCGGTGGTAGTAGTAGTGGTGATGAGTAAAGCTAATTACTCGGGGTTATTCGTTAGAAGATGATGATTCCCGCCTCTTCTCGGCATGTTTTTTCGTAAATTCCTCAGCATTCTTTAAAAACTTTTTTCTATCTTTCAGAAATTCCTCAGCTAAATCCGCTCTCAATGGATGTTCAGGTTCAGGATCATTCACTAATGCTATTAATGCTTGAATCACTGTAAATGGCATATTTAAAATTAAAAATGTTTTATATCTATACCTGTTTCTTTGAAGAAACTATCAATTCCAAATTTGTCTTGTTTTAAAAATAAGATTTTTATTACACAAAGAGAGTTATTTGCAAATTCTATTAAATAGCAATTATCTTTTAATTCTATAAAAATTTTTGAATCGTTACTAAGTCAAAAAAGTTAAAAAATTAAAATGTACGAAATCTGACCTTGATCCGTTTTTGTAGCAGGTTTCCAATTTTCAGCGCTTATAATTGGCAAACATATTTGACCCTTTTCATCTACATTTGGATGATATATCTTCGTTTTAAAATTTATCCTTGGTGGTTTAAAAGGGTATTCTGCAGGAAAATTGATTTCGATGCGAAATGCGCCTTTGTTATATGGTGGATTATCCTATAGAAAAAACTACCTTATTTCTTCATTGATATAAGTTACAATTTGAAACAATATATACTATATATTGTTAAAATTATGCAAGTGTAACATGTATACTACATGTTATACCTAAAAAAATTACAGTATGTACAAATAAATGCATAAATATATAATAAACTAAGAGAAGAATCAATTATATATATGAAATAATATGTTGGGTACAATATCTCAAGAATATGTTTTTACATTTTATATTCTTTTTTGAGAAGCAAGAAATAATATTCTATCTCATTATAATTTTAAATTAATATAATTACAATTAATCTTGTATATAAAATTATACAAGTTATAAATTAGTTGATAATATTCCGCATTAAATTTTTACATGTAACACAAACTTGCTTAATATTTATAGATTATTAAATTGTTAATTAAAATATAAGTTTTAATATAAATTATTTTATTTAGATAACTTTCTAGTGCACTTTAAAATCTTATTGAAATTATATTGATAACTAATCACCATAGCTAACTTAAAAATAGATTAAATTGATTTTATCAGAAAAAAACCACTTGAGAAAAATAAAATAATGCAGATAGATAACAAAATAAATCCATGTCTCAAAAGTAACACAACAATAATATATTAAAATATTTACTTTTATAATAGAAACTAAACTTTCTATTTTATCCTCGCATATTTTTCTTCTCAAAAAAATGTAAACGCCTGATGCGCCTTGTGAATATAAAAAATGTAAAACGGTACACCTGAGAGAAACAGGATGAGTCACAAGACTTGGAGGATGTGCACTTTGCACCTCAACGCGTATTTTAGGTTACGTATGTCCTCGAATTTCAAGGATGATGACGTAAACCTACCGGCAATATGAGGCCTTGCCAGGTGAGGATATTGGACTCGTCTACTTGAATATTTGTGAAGTTTTTCATAGCCGACGCCCTCAGGTCGCCGAGTTCCTGGAAAAAGTTAGAATGCGACAGTCAGTCCAGTGCTGGAGCAAGTGTGCGGTCATGTTATATCCATGTCGCGCCAATTCGAAGTCACAAGCATTTTAGATCAGCAACGAAACTGTTCGTGGCTACGCGAAATATGCAAAACGACCCTCGGAAAGTAGTAATAGCAGAGTTATAGGCGTTATAAACGGCATGAGACAGAACTATTCGATATCAGCGGTGAGATGAGGGTAGCGCCATGCGAGCGATTTCTCACGATCGCCATCCTCGCTGAACATGATTAAACGCGGAAATCTTGTCTATAACTGGCTGTCGTCCAATGTCTACGTCTCAATCTTTCACTATGTCACATAGTTGCGACGGCAACTTTGAATTACCTTTTGCAATCTCCTCGTAGCGGCCATTTTGAAAATAAATTCTACTAAAAGCAGCAAAGCCTATCAAGTCCGCCGCCAGTGTGCGTCGATCAGGTTTTCACATGTGATTTAGCTCAAGAAACTTCCTAGATTTTATGCCGAAAGATGTAATGCCAGAACCAGTGAGCTACAAAAGCCTGCATCAGACTACTAGAAATGCTGTGTGCTGTATGTGCATTTTTAATTTATTAGCTGTATGTAGTTTATTAAATCGCAATTGCGAATTGCTTCAACGAGTTGCATAGTCTGATGCATAACATAGGCCGCTTTCTAACTAATAAAACAGCCATATCTAATGAACAACAGCAGAATAATATTTTGTATAATCTTAGCTGTGTTCCACAATTCACTGCCAGTACTGAAAATCTACAGTTTACGTTACGTATATTGTAGATTTTCAGTACTGGCAGTGAATTTCGAAACGCAGCCCTTGTTTCAACTAGCTGGAAAGCAACCTATATAATTTTGAATCAAGCTGTTTCCAAGGAAAAAAATTGTTAAAGTTACTAGAAAACATACTCTGTTATTGGATGTTGTACGTCATACGAAAGCAATGTGAATCCTCCATTATTTTCATTCGTGAAAGATGCTGTCTATGTACTTTATGCCGATTATCACACTGCCGTCTCGCGGTCATTCCGTCGCATGAAGTGAGAGTCGTCTATTACGTGCTATTACGTCAAAGATTTGAAAATTTAAACGTTTTACAGATTTGTTGATGTGGCGATTCGTGCTAATAGTGACGAGCGTGTGGCATCAATTACAGAGGTATTCGTCACCAACGTGACGTACTCTGTCGAAAAATCACTGCCGATAGAAAAATCGCGACGGCAGTCGCGATAACGCTGCATCGGATCTCCGACACGCGAGACATATTGACACAAATCTGAAACGTAGTCCGGGGATGAAAGATCGGTTTTCTGTAAATTTTCTGTTCATCTAAGGACATATTCGTGCAACATGGCGACCGTGAATAGGCACAGGAACAGGTACGATGTTTCTCCTTACATTTTTGTTTACACAATTCCATATTTTCTACGTTTATTTATATTTACTTAATCTGAAGCCACTCTCGCTACTGCATTCTGTAAAAATTATCAGATATTAGATATTTTTCATATGCTTCTATACAACACATTGTTTACTTGGGCGGGTAGTTTCAATATACTACGTATATACTGATTTAATGAACATATTTGTGTAATTTGGCAATTATCAGCGTTGCTTTCAATTTTTAATTGTCCGTAAATTCTGTAATAAACAGATGATAGAATTATAAAAAAATATTTTGAATATTTATTATATAATGTTGTTTTCGAGTTCTTCAATTCCAGGGACTATGTATGTTTATTGAACGGTATATATATTGAATGGTACATATACATATATATATATAATATAATATTGTAAAGCAATTTTAAAGCATAGATATAATTAGCATAAATATTATTTATTTTACATTTGTTTACATTTGTTTTCTTTTAATGATAATTTGCAACAAAAATAAGTTAAAAGAATATATATTAACTAACAATACATTAATTAACAATATATGCATGTTTAATAGCAAAGTATAATTTGATAAAAATTTATACTTTGCTAAATTTACGAACTAACATTAGATCTATGTAACAACTATGTAACAAATTGGTACAAAATTATTTGGAAAATTGATTCTTTTTTTCAGGTTGTGATAAAACAAGCAAATTACACCATACATTTGATTAATAACTAAAAGTAAAGGCACATATTAAATATCACACAACAGAAATATCTGAAAGTTAAGCCTTAAGAACATATATCTTGCAGTTATTTATGTAAAATATTAATATAACTTGATTAATTAAGAAAATCAATAACCATAGTAGATTAAAACATATAAATTATTTGTTTATGCAAATTCCATAAAGTTTTCTTTAACAAATTGCTGCTGTGAAAGTATTGCTTATTATAGTCATGAATTTACATTAAAGTTTGTAACTATAGTGTTTGTTTTCTATAGCTTTGTATATTGTATATGCATATATATTTATAAAACTACACAAAAAAAATCGACACTAAGTAATGACTGTATTGTCTCATTGCTTTTGAATTTGTAATTTTATTATATAGGTTCTTGCATAATTATAAAATTATTATATATGTTATTAAATTTTAGATTAATGTAATAGATCTCAAGGGATACAACATATGTTTTGTACAACTATATAAAAAGAAAAAAAAGGATAAAATATAAAAGTAAATAAAGTTAGACAAAGCAAGAAGCTTTCTAAGTGTAAACTAGATAAAACTGTAATTATTGCAAGATATATTTGATAACAACACTTTGTGCCTTATATTTTGATTGCTATAAATGTTTATGAGGACCATCAAGTGCAATATACTGCTATATTAGCAATTAAATTACACAAGTGTCCAAGGAATACATCTTATAGTATTTTGCATACTCTCACTTTGACTATGTACCATACTGTATATCCGTCACAAATGACGGTGCAAATAATGAATGGACAGCAAACGGGTGGACAGTGTCCTCCGACACAAGCTCATGCATTGCATATTAATGGTGTAAATACATTGCACCAAACTGATTTCATACAGTATGGTCCAGATATTTCTGGACATAACAGGCATCGTATGATGCAGGTATATGTTAAAATCTTTTAAATTTAATTGAAAAGATATTCTTATTTATTAAATATACTTTATACTTTCCGAAATTCACTGTGAACACAATCATTAACAACAGATGCATTTTAATAACATCGTTATAAAAGTGTAATGATCAAAATTTATTTACATATTGCATTGCTTACATAAAAAATTGTAATTGTTTGTAACATGTAAAACTATATAATTATATGAAAACAATGCAAATATGTATTAATGATGAGATTTTTTTTTATTTTTGTATCTTTGAATATATCTTATTCTGTGTATATTGTCTTTCTTTCTATTTTTCTGGGAGTATACAAATAATATTCTTGCAGACAGGATCCCATCAACTAGATTTATTACAACTAATAGGAATCGATGTGCCATCATTACGACATATAGATTATATGCAATCAAACAATAATTTGTCTTCTACAAATTGGGAAAGACGAATAGGTACATCCAATAATACTTCAATTATACCACCTTCAAATTATGGTTTCAAGCCCACAAATACTAATTCGACAAAGAAACCAAGTTGGAATAATAGAAACGGCAGAAGAAGTTCGTACAGGCAATCCTTTCCAAAGTATGAGACATATAATAGTGACAGTGGGTTTAGCTCTCGTTCACCAACACCAAACAAACATCACATCGACAATAGTTTAACAGAGAGTTCAGATGAACGTGATTCTACAAGTTCAATAAGAAGACAAGGAATAAAGTAAATATTGTACATTATTAAAATCATATTATTTAACAAAATTGAAGTAGGAGGATCAAGGGCCCAAAGCAGGATCTTAGTTGCCAAAAAATTTTTTATGTCTTTTTCTTTATTATTATTTAATTCTTCTTTATTCTTGATTTCAAAAATTAATAAACGTTTCGGTCGATCTTTCGCCCATCCTCAGTACAACATTAAAAGCAGTCTAGATGGAATAAATTAAAATTATAAACGCAAATACAAATGAAATCGATGTAAAAACATGAGAGTTTATTAAATTAAATTGTAAAATGACCTAATAACATATCATAGTAAAGAAAACTATGATTATCGGACAGCAATCAGTTAGTCAAACACACTAAAGTATATACGAATAAATATTAAAAAATAAAATAGACTTTGAAAAGTGATGATGAGCATTAACAAATAAAAACTTGTGATACATACTTAAAAGGTTGTGTGAATCCCAACTTATGAAGTTGTCAACATTATGTATCACGAGTGACTGTGAAAGATGTAATATATATTATTTAATTTTCAGATACATTTTTGGGTACATTATTATTTATGTCACATTAAATAAAATTAATTAAATTAATATATTATTAATAGCTTGATAAAAAAGTAATGAAGATATATATTTAGACTTTCCCCTTTCTCTTCATCACTTTTTTTATCAAGCAATTAATGATATATTAATTTAATTAACTTTATTTAATGACATAAATAATAATACCTGAAAATTATATATATACCATTTGTAAATTTATATAATTTTTTTTCAGAAAACATCATAAAATGCATCCAGATAATAGAGCAGTCAATAAACCCACATCAAATGGCTTAATTTCGAATACTTCTGCACATCAATATTATCAAAGCCAACGGCCTGTTAATTATTATCATACTACTGTTTCTTCTCCCAGGTCTCACATTCAAAATTATCAAAATCGGAGAAGGTATTTATCAGGTAAGCTTTATTTATGTGCAATAACATCTGTTAAAATCTAATATATTCTATATGGCGATTGGAATTATAAAATACATATAGTAGGAAATATATTGCAACAATTGAATATATTTGTTTTCAGGCAGGAGTGAAAGTGCACCTTCTCAGCGGCCTCCAAGAAATCGTAAATTTACTGAAGTTATATTACCAAATTACAATATGTCCCAATATCCCAGATGTTTCATAGCTCCTGATAGATTTCTTGCTAGATCTCATTTAGTAGAAGTAACTTCTGTACCAAACAATCTCGTTACTGGATCAATATGGGATGGTTTGTCACAACAAATTTGGTCGAAATTTATATCAAATCAACAAACTCAAGTTACATATAGAAATAAAATGATGTTGTGGAAGCATCTTTATATTTACATCAAGGTAAGATAAAAGATTAATGCATAATAATCATAAGCATAAATAAATTCTTTAAAAACAGAGTATCTAAAAAACATATTAATCAATTTATTAATAATAATGGCCCTTGCAGACTTCATATCCAAAATATGGTTTATTTTTGGTTGGTTCAACAATGAATGGTTTTGGTTCAGACAATAGCGATGTCGACATGTGTCTTTTAGTGAGGCACACAGAAATGGATCAGAGATATGAAGCTATGGAACATTTAGGACAAATACTGAAATATCTAAAAAAATGTGGTATGTATAGTTTATAAGAATTACAATTCTCCAAATATTTTAGTATATTTAGTAATGACTATTTTATTCTATTTTTCATAACTAGAATTCATTGAACAACTCGAACTTATACAAGCAAAAGTGCCGATTATTAGATTCCGTGATGCACTGCAAAATTTAAAAGTTGATTTAAATTGTAACAATGCTGTTGGGATAAGAAATACACAACTGTTATATTGTTATTCAAGACGTAAGTTTAATTAATAATTTGAATATATATTGATAGATACTGAAAAGAATATTTTGTAATTCCAATTAATATGAATACTTCTTTTCACAGTTGATTGGAGGGTTAAACCACTAGTACTTGTTGTGAAACTTTGGGCTCAATGTCAAGATATCAATAATGCGAAAAACATGACAATATCTAGTTACTCTCTGGTTCTCATGGTTATACATTTCCTACAATGTATGTAACGACATTAACTTTTTTTCTAGCTTAATTCTAAAATAGAATATGAATATTTATTGGGTTATTTTACAGGTGGTGCCAGTCCTCCAGTTCTACCATGCTTGCATTCGATATTTGTAGGCAAATTCAGCCCGCACACAGATATTCATGATATCGATATTCATGAGGATTTAAACATTCCCTCCTCTATTCGTTTACCCGAGAATCGTCAGTCTCTTGGAGAATTGCTGGTAGAATTTTTTAGATACTATGTGGAATTCGAGTAAGTAATGTCATATGCAAATAATGTAGAATTTTCCGAAACAATATCTCGACAAACAATATTTAATTTGTACTATTAAATCAGTTTCAGTCGTTATGCGATATCTGTACGTTTGGCAAGCAAAATACCGATAGATGAGTGTCGTATGGTGCAGTCACTCAAGAACGATCCACATCAATGGAAATATCTGTGTATCGAAGGTAAATGAATATTATTTTAATACAGTAAGTCGAAAGGGAGGGAGATTTTTCTTTTATCTTACTTTTTATCATACTTACTGAAGTTATTGCAACATTGTAGAGCCATTCGATCTGACTAATACAGCTAGGTCAGTCTATGATCCCGATGTATTTGCAAGAATTAAGCGGATATTTAATATTACGTACCAAAGATTAAAGGAAACACGCAATCTGAACTGCATATTTATGAAGATAATCCAAGATCATATTTATATCGCGACATAACTGTGTTTTGTAGACTAGCACAGAAATGCTTAAATATTAGCTAGGATAAATAATATTTAAAAGCGTTCTATTCTGAAGAACAAGCTGTTCTAAATGAATTAAAAGCATTTTGTTAAATGCTGGCAGCTTAATAGTTTAGTGATCTGAAACGATATGGAAGAATAGGACAAAGCGAAATAAGACTGCCAAGATCGTCTTCTACGATATGCTTAGTACCTTGTCATGTTAAGTCTTATTTTCGAACAATTTATGTTTGCAAGGTACAAAGCAGAATATGATAACTTGTCCTGCATTTTATTTTCTAATTTTTTTTTTTTTTGTAAAATATTAAAATCATTATTAACTGTGCAACATCTTGAAATGAGATAGTATCACACTGTTTGTGTTTACTAACGTGCAAAAACATCTTTCATTCTGGTATAAAGCACAAAGTATTAAATGCACGGGTATCGTTCCTATATAAATGCTAAAATTGCTATTGTGCAATAAAATTTGAGTATATTAAAGCTACAACCATCTAGGCTTGCTTGAATATCTCTAAATCTTAAAACTTTAAGATATTCACGAACGATTAAAAATGTCTAAATAAATTCCTTTTGCAGATTATTCAATATTTATGTAACAACTTCATTATTGTTACAATGATTATTGTGCCAACATTATTTAACGTAATTTTTCCGATATAATAATTACTCATTACCCCATGCACAAGTCTTTCATATAATATCAATGAATATAAAATACACGGTGCCTTGCAGCTATTGATTATTGTTAACATAATTATATGCCGCATGATATTGCAAATAATTGCTTAATAAAAAATAACATCATGTTTCAAAAATGGTTGTTACACGCTGCACACATACATAATTAGCAACATATTTTCATTTAAAAATACTTCAATCCATAGTCTGCTAAAACCATAAAAAAACATGTGCTTGATATCAAAATAACATTCTATAACATTATATATTAAAAGAAGGAAGCAGTACTTATTTTTTATATAATTGCTATTCCCCCAAAAATATATTCCACATGAATTTAAACTTATAAAGAATATATAAACTTAATATTATCTTTTGCAAAATATTAAAAACAAAAAAAGATGGAAAATACCTAAAATTAAAAAAAAAAAGTTACAAATTTGAACTAATTAATTATTTACGTTTATAGTATTTTGTTCAGATATATAATTAATGAACGATTGATAATAAAGTTAGCAAGACTGTGTTTCTTTTAAAAGGATTTTCGAAATTCTACTAACCATCCTCTAAAATTGATAATTATGTTTTTGTATCAGTGAAATAATTTATATAATAATTCAAAACGGGACCAAAAAAATCAGCAAAAAATATATACATACAAACTAAAGTAAAGATGTCTAATATTTTGTTCGAAAAACGACAAGCAAATTTTTCGATCTCAGGTACATCTTTACTTTTCAGGGAAGTGCCTTTTCATTCTTCGACAAATCTTTCGTTTTTTTCTCAAATAATTTAGTCAAACTATTAATAATTAGTTTACGATTATTGTACAACGAAATATTATTATTACTTTCTAATATTGGTTGTCATATAATTTTCATATCAGTGAATTAGTAAAATTAACTTTATTGAAGGACATTCATACAAAAATTGTCTGAGAATAAAGTTACTTCCTGCAATCATGTCGAAAAACAAGTAGCATATTTAATCATAGAAAAACAATTTCCCATTAACATACTAATTTTCGTAATCCTTTTCAGAAGAAACACTCAAGCTTGATACTTTTTTTTTATTTACCAAAAGGAGATTGCTATATTCTATCCTCATTCTTTTACTAGTCTTATCTTTTACTGACTAGTCTTTTTTTTCCTTAAAAAAAAAATATGTATGGCATTGTATAATAGTGGTATTCTTAGAGATCATACATGAAAAACACATGGCTGTGCCTGCAGTGTATAACAATTAAATTATTGTATACTAATAATTACTTTAACATCCAGTTCACACGAATAAATTAACATCTATTGCAAGGTCAATATGATATATTAAGTAATACATATATATTATATATATATTACTTATATAGTTTGCAATATTTTTCGATTGTATAAACAACTTGATAAAACAATTAATTTAATTTTCATGTGATATTCGACTTATATATTTTTTGTAATACTACCTCTACAATACTACTCGAATGCCAAATTTAATTTTTTAATGCATTTTGTAACAACAAGGATGAGTCATTGTAAAATTAACAAATTAAGCTGGATAAGGTTGCAGGGGCATCAAAATTACATCATTTAGATTAATTCGGAATAAAATTTCTGTCAAAGTTAATATAAGCATTCGATCTCCTATACATTTATAGAATAAAAACAACTTTTGTAATTCCAGTTTTCTTGTTAAATAAATGAAATGTTTATACACCATATTGTGCATATTTATTTATTCTATTTCTTCCCAACAAGAACTCAACCATTGAAAACTGATTGTTGTTTTGTTTTTTATAAAAGATAATAAAATTTTAGATCAAGTATGAAGATATAAAATTTAATATTATTTAATATAAATTTATAAAAATAAATATATATTGTGTGATTTTTGTATATATTGATAGCATTTCAATATTCAGTGTATAATATTTGGTTTAATATTAATCAAAGAATATTATTTATTTTCTGAATAAAATTTATATTGATCATACTTATATACTTACATATAAGTAATAAGTATGTATATATATAAAAATATATTTTAATATAACATATGTGTGTGTGTGTGATTTTAGGGATTTTAAAGCCCAATTTACAATGTGCTTTTAATTTTTGTTTTCTGTCTTTTTGCTTTTATGTAAAGATATATTTTTCTTTAGAAATTCAGAAAAGAGAAATTGTAAATCATCGTATTTCTTGACTCCATGCGACAAGCACATAAAAAGCAAAACGAAAGACAAAGAGCAAGAAATAATACGCAAGAAGTACATTGTAGATCAGGCCTAAAGAAAAATTTCACCACAGAAATCAATCTTAATGTTGGTCATCCTGTGTCACTATGGTGACTTCCGGTAGAAGGTGGCATCGGCCATTTAGATCTTTTCCACCGTGATACCGGGATGACTGGTTTCAGTGAGAAGGTTCGTATTCAAAGATTTGATATTTTAGGTAGCCAAAATATCTTTTGCGTAGAGTATATATGTGGTCGTGATTATTTAGCATGAGAAGTAATATATAAGTTCTTTAATAATTGTTCGAAAAAAAAGAATTATGCGAAAACTTTGATTTGCCTGAACCATGTTATACACGTGTCTATGGCGGCGTCCATACTTCGTATGGACATATAAAAATTCATGTATGCAATGAAATTCATATTTAATGGCATCAATTTTGCAATAACGCTTTAATTATGTTTTTGATACGATTTATTAAGATGTGTATCATGTGTATGCTTGTTTAATTCCGGATCCATAGAATGTGTGCATTAAATTTCACGAATATCAAGGATGGAGGCGATAACATGTGCTACGTAGAGATTGACTTTTTTCCTCTCGTAATTGAAAATATTACAATTTCAGTCAATATTAATAGATGGCCGCGGCCATCTATTGGGGCGGTTGGCTGCTATTATTGCCAAAACTATCCTGCAAGGCAATAAAGTTATCGTTGTACGCAGTGAACAATTAAATATAAGTGGTAATTTCTTCAGGTTTGTAAGTTCTCATTATTAGAAAGATTTAATTTTAAATAATTTATATGTTTTATTAAAATAATTAAGAGGTACAACAATGTAATATTATCTGTTTTCAGGAATAAATTGAAGTTTATGTCTTTCTTGCGTAAGAGATGTAACGTAAATCCTGCACGAGGTCCATTTCACTTCCGTGCACCTAGCAGGATTTTCTGGAAAACAGTTCGTGGTATGTAAACTTGTAAATATATTATTGCTATCAATATTGATGATAAAAATCTATTATACATGATTACACACAACTTACCTACATTATTTGAGAAATAATGAAAAAAAAAAAACATTTTATGAGCCTTAATTTGCACATATTATTTTACAATGCAGCAAGTGCAAGGATATTGAAAAGACTTATTTGCAGGTATGATCCCACATAAGACACAAAGAGGAAAAGATGCTCTCAGGCGGTTGAAAGTTTACGAAGGATGTCCATCTCCTTATGATCGTAGAAAGCGCCTTGTTGTACCTGGTGCCATGAGAGTGATGTGCCTCAAACCAGGCAGGAAAGTAAGTAATATATATCTAAATTCTTTTCTAAGTTTGAAATATTATTTTTCTTATTAAAAAAACAATGATGGTATGGTAATTTGCGTCTGAGGTTGGTCAGTATGACCTTGTGTGATGTTATTTTAAACTGAGTCACTAAAATTTCATAAAGAATAATTTAATATATTAATTATATCAGAAATGTGGATACTAACACAAACTTTTTAATTTTTAGTACTGTCATGTGGGTAGACTGTCTCACGAAGTTGGGTGGAAATACAAGGCTGTCGTTCGTACATTGGAAAATAAGAGACGTGTCAGAGCTATCCTTGAAGTCCAAAAAAGGAATGGACTTAAGGTAATTATACGTCTAAATTTTATAATTTTTTGTCTTTCAAATTTTTTCAAATGTATAAAGATATTTATATTTTTTTTACAGAAACTCACAAAACAAGCGGGCGAATCGGTTAGCAAAGCTACTGCACCATATACTGAAATCATTAATAACTTTGGATACAATTAATCTAAATGTTGTAAAAACAATAAAGTCTTTTAAACATCCTAATTTCAACTATTCTTTGACTTGTAAATTTACTAAAAGTATAATTTAGTAACTCAAAATGATATTAAACTTTATTATAAGAAAAATAACTTTCTTTATAAAAATAAATTAATTTATAGTACACTTTTATAGTACACATAATTGTTTCTGCAAAAGTATGACAATTATTAACTTTCCACAGAATCCACAGTAAACACTACTGTGCCACCTTTGTCATTGTCTTCTTCATCATGTACTTCATTTTCCTCATCGTCAGACGAAGAAGATGAAACTGAACCGTTCATATGTTGTTGTAAACGATAACTTCCAATGTTTCTTGGAGCAGTACCAATATTATGTAATCCTATTTGACTAGCCAGACGTTCCACTGCATGTTTTGCTTGAATTTCCTATCAAACGCAAAACATACAAAATATTAACTTAAAATTAATGAAAATACATAAAAATAATGCTAGCCTTCTAAAAAACTTTGAAGATTTTGAAAATGTTAAACACCTGTAGTTTTTCGGATTGTTCCTTTTGCAATTTTAAGGATTCATTAAGACTTAAGACCTTTGCTGCTCCATGAACTATAAGAGGTGGTGTAGCTGCTGTGACCTCCCAGTTTTTATGCAGCTTCCTTTGTTTCTCCTTCATAGGATTATGCACATCACTTTTAGTCGTTTTATATGGCCTAAATGGTTCCTTCTTATTTATTTCTTCTGCTTTTTCTACTTTATCAACGATATATTTTACATGTTCCACATCTAAAGGACTTGTTTTGAAGGATTCTATTTCTGTTATGTCTTCTGGCTTAATAAGACTCTCCTCAGGAGCTAAATGTATAATCTTTTTTTTATGAACACCACTTCCTGTGGGCTATCAGAATACAATAAATTATTACAGCAATTAGCAATAATTATTACTGACATATTTATATTATACTAACTTGTGCTAGTATTTTTAATGGATTATCCTCATCATCACTATCTAGCTCAATTTTCGTTATACTTTCTTCATTTTTATCATCATATTTTCCTGTCCATTCTAATTTACTCATAGCTGCTTTGCCTTCTGATGCTATATTAAGCTGCGATAGCAAATTAGCAGCTCTTTCCATTTCATTTTTATGCTCAAGTTCTTCTAATATCTTGTTATAAAAATTTATAATTTTTTCTCCTTTGTCAGGAAGATTAGAAATAAATTTCCTACAAAGAAAAAGTGCTAGATTAAGAGAGATTAATTAGTGTTTATTAGCGACAAATTAGATTAATTAACGTTAAAACACAATATTCATTTCTTCTTACTTATTAGCAAGAATTTTATTCTGTCTTTCTAAAAGCTCTTCCAATTCAAATTTCTGTTTCTTTCCTAAATCATTGATATAGCCTTGGCTTTCTTTTTTTGAAGGAGGAAGTATATCGCCAGGTATTCTTTTAATTATATTATTCGAATACATTTTTTGTGTATTTATTCAATTTCTAGAAATGGAAAAATTACTGTGGAGAAAATTAATATAATTAAAGGTTATGTTTCTTGTAAACCAAGTAAATAGTTATTTAAAAAATTATTTTTTTAAATTGTACATACATATCTTATATCCTTTAACTTATCACCTTGGAAACAGCAAATAAATTTGTAACGCAACGTGATATTAAAAGTCGATGCGATATAAACTGATGAAAAATACTTTTGGCATGTGTATATATTCACTGTAAACATGACATGATTAATTATTTAAAATAACTAATAAGATGTATTAAACGTATGTGTTGTATTTAATTTGCGCAATAAACAGGGATATTATAGCAAACAAACAAACTTTTCAACACAATCAGCTTCTAAAACATTTCACACAGATGTTGTATCAATAATGATAAAACAGAGACGCGGCCCCGCGTAAACCGCAATGGAGGAAATACACACACAATCAAGAGCCGCGTACAGAAAGGAAACAGCAATAGTACGTCTACTCTTTTCTAGTGTGCGAAGCTAGCCGAAGCGCGGAGCCCGGTCTTTCACCACAGATATTAGAGGTTTGTTCTTTATAGCTGAACTGGCTGCACTAGTTCAGAGTTTATCTTTTTCCCTCCACATTGGAAAGAGAAAGATAAACTCTGAACTAGTGCAGCCAGTTCAGCTATAAAGAACAGACCTATTATCGACCTATTACTGTCAAAATGTGCACAAAATAGGTTATAAACCAATAAAAGAAAAAGAGATAATTATGTTTCAAATAATTTTCTGAAATATAATTTTGTGTAAATATGATTCATATAGCATTTATATATTTATATTGTTTTCTATACATTCAAAATAATATTCAATTTTCTCAAGAAGCGGTGAGTAGATATTGTACATTTATTAATTATTATAAATAAGTGTAAGAATAAAAATAAATTTTAATATTACAGGATTCT